GTAGATGGCACAGCCATCGCGATTTCGCTAGCCCCTACCAGAAATTCATTGCGCCGCCCTTGGGGGCAAAAAACTGTGAAAGCTAACGTACGAAATCAGAGGGCAGCACATGGTGCGATCGCGCGACCCTGCCCGTGAGCAATCTTCCAACTCATCTCTGACTTAATCTTTCTTTTCAATCTCACCTCTGGTTAACCAAAGTTTAACTGGTTTATACGTCGTTTAAACCTGCTGTAAATCAATTAATCTTCAGTCAACAGTCCGGATCCAGTAAATCGCATGTTTCCGTCGCATTAATAATTACGCAGATTCAATCCTAAGCATCTCTATCGACATATAAATTCGAACTTACCAAATTTCGACTGGAGAGAAGTCTAGAGTTCTAAATCCAGTAAATTACGTCAGGAACGAAGCGAAATTCCCGGTAACTTATCGGTAATTTCTCCAAAGCCTTTTTTATCGAGAAATTATGAGAATTTGAATTTTTCAACAGAGCGAACGAGAGGTTTCGATTAGCTATAGAGAAACATCGTAGAGGGGAATTTCCGTTGTACGTTCTCCGTAGCCAATCAAAACCTCCCATTCGCTTCGTCGCTGAATGAAATATCAGTTCATTTGAAACAAATCGCATGGAATTTTCCGTGATGTTGTACATACGTGAATATTTTTATCTGGAGGTAAATACGACCCTATAATCAATATTTTCTAATAGTAATTATTACTCTTTAGCTTGAACTTTGAAGTTGATTGAAAAAAGAAAAGTTATTTAAACGAAGAAACCTAAAGTATAAATAACAAAATTAACGTTCTCTTAAATTCTCAATGTTCTCGGTAACTTACGGTATGTTTCACAGTTACCTTCTCCAATTTAATGTTACCGAGAATTTTCGAACTCTATAGAAGTCCCGAATTGGATTTCGAGTTTCTGGGTAGCGACATGCACGTAGTTCCGACTCCGACCAACAGATTGCGACGCCATCGCAACTGGCGGCGCTGTCTACGGCAGTCGTTTCCAGTTTCTTTAAATGTTAAACGGGGAGTTACTTAATGGCCAAGCGTTCAGTCGTTCAGCGGCCAGGACGGTGGGACGTCCACTCCAGGCTCCGGCTTCGCGTAGAAAGAGGGACCCTCTCACCCCGAATCTGACGTGAGTAGGATCGACCTCCGACTGCGCCTGCGCAAACTAAAAGGCGGCCCGATGTAGATCGCCGCGCGAATTTTTTAAATCCGCCAATCTCCTGACCGACGCTTTTCGAATACTGAACGATGTCGCCAGTGTCATCTTTGTTCGCTTGCTATCGGAGTATATGCTTTTTTCTCGAGATATTCGCGTGGAACTGACATTCTCGAATCGTCGGTAGTGCTTTCAAATTCTCGAGAATTTCAGTTCGAGTAATATAAACTGAGAATATTGCGATAATTTATTTAATATGTGCTTTTTTCACGTGATATTCGCGTGAAATTGACACGCTTGAATCGTAGTCGGCAGTATTCTTAAATTCTCAAGAATTTCAGATTGAGTAATACAACCCAAGAACATTGCGGTGATTCACTTAATATGTGCTTTTTTTCACGAGATATTCTCGTCAAATTAACACACCTGAATCGTCGGTAGTGCTTTCAAATTCTCGAGAGTTTCAGTTCGAGTAATATTACCGAGAATATTGCGGTAACTTACTTAATATTTGCTATTTTCACGAGATATTCTCGTCAAATTAACACAATTGAATCGTTGGTAGTGTTTTTAAATTCTCAAGAATTTCATTTCTTTCGCCTTCATAACGTTTATACTCCTTAGATGGCAAAGCTTCGCTCGAGGGTTCACCGATCGCTGATCGATCGCTGATCGATTGAATCCGAGGCCGTTGCTCCGACGTAGCGAGTGGCGACGTCTAATTAATTTTGCAATGCGTTCCTCCAGGCGAAGGACTCTCGCAACAGTGTGCAAATTGGCCCATAAATAAGGATTCGCACTTATATGTGCATATACATGTATTTGGCGAGAAACTCTTTCGAGTTGGGCCCAATACTACTACGAATATCAGAATCGATAAGCTGACTGATATATATATATATATATANTCTATATTTATCTCCGGGCTCTCGATGCCGAGTTATCGCTAGTATATATTATAGCATATATATATATATACTGGTATTGATGATACTTATATATATATATATATAGGCTGACTCTTTCATATCACCTTAAAATATTTAAAGAATATTTCTAGGTACAATGGTGTCATATGGGTTGTGGGTCGGTCACAATTTCTCGGGCTCTTCCCTCAAGATAAATACCCATCGGCTATCGTTTCGACTTAACGTCGACCTCGAAGTCACGTGCGAAAAGGAGACGCGTCAAGGGGGGAAAGCCACTAGCTCGTAAATCCCGAAGAGGTTCTAAGATTACCGTAAAGATCCTCGGTCGACTCGGTGCACCGGGGAGTAAGCTATATTCGAGGTAATCGAAATAGAGGCTGACGCACTTGCGAACTCGAGGGGGTCATTAAACGGCGAGACGCGGCCGGTGCCTCCTCGACCTTCCCCATTTGTTTTCTTCCCGGCAATATACGAGATCCTTTGCGAGAAAAAGCTTAATTAACCGATTTGCATCATTAGCCTATGTATACGCTCAATTTTACTGGTCACTATCGCCGGAGCGTATGTATACGCTCAATTTTACTGGTCACTATCATTCAGCCTGAAATTTGGTGATAAGGACCCTCTTTTCGTACTTCCTTACGATGCAAATGGGTTAACGCGAGAGAGAGAAAGCACGTGGACGTAATATATAGGATGTCTCGGTCATTTTGACGACGAGCAAAATCGATCTTTGTCTTCGTTTTGTACAAAGTGCAAGAGTAAGACAAAAAGGCCCTTACGCTTACCTCATCTTTATGGGCGCTTTTAACGGTGAAGTGAAATACGTCGAGAAATTTATAGGCAATTTGTTTGAAATGCAAGGAGTTAACACATTCGCGACCGCTGACGTGAATTCACGTCATTTTAAATTCTATTCCTGATTGCCGCTGACGTGAATCACGTCCATGACGACGCACGATACAAGTTTGCGGCAACCAGCTTCAGAATTTCATATATTTAGAAATTAGAATAGAATAACAGTCGTGAAGTAAAAAATGTATTTTTACTACATGTTCATAAATTAAAAAATATAATTTCTCTATGTTTATAAATTATTGAAACTAAATATGTCATTGAGATTTTCAACAAATATTTCAGATATCTTCGTATGAAATCTGCAAGAAATCTTGAGAAATCTGTCGCTTGAGATATTTAGCAAAGATTACAAAGAAATATTTAGAAATTATTCTACGCTACTGGGGAAGTTGTTTAGGCAATTATCACGTCTTCTAAACAGTGCTCGCGTTTTCTCGTCCATGATTCTTGAAATAGGACCGCCCATGGACCTCCGATCATTTTGCCTTTGTCCCTTTGAAGTATTTCCTTCAATGGAGACGTCGTCCATGATTTCCTGAATGAATCCCCCTCGGGGAAGGCTTTCCCGGGTGGGTCGACGATCGCAATACCCGAAGAAAAGTTCTCTTGCGGAGGGTTTTTCTCCGGTCACAGATGGCTCGGAATGGACCACATGGCCCGTACCGAGAAGCCTCTAATGGACTACATCTGCAGGTCTATATTTATCTCCGGGCTCTCGATGCCGAGTTATCGCTCAGCCTTCATCGGGCCCCGAGGATGATCCCCTTCTAACGAGAGCCGAGCGGCTCCTTATCGACTTATCGGCTCCCAGGAGAGCCACCGCGGACCTTGACGCGAGCCTGGACCAGCCAGGAAGGACAAGGGCTCCTTTCATCGGAGCAACGACCCTGGACGAGACGACCGGACCCGGACCTCCCCGAGGAGGAAGGCAGGAGGAGTGGAAGAAAATGGACGACCAGGGAAAGTCCCTACCGGGAGCACGCTTGCGAAACGCCCGTTAGGTCGCGACGAGTCGAGATTCCTCCTTGAGAAGACGCCGAAGTGGTGTGAGAAGTCGTACACGAGGTGGTACGGGAAGACGTACGTGAGGTGGTACGAGAAGATGTATATGAGGTGGTACGAGAAGACGTACATGAGGTAGTACGAAAAGACGTACATGAGGTAGTACGAGAAGACGTACATGAGGTAGTACGAAAAGACGTACATGAGGTGGTACGGGAAGAAGTACATGAGGTGGTACGAGAAGACGTATATGAGGTGGTACGGAAAGACGTGCATGAGGTAGTACGAGAAGACGTACATGAGGTGGTACGAAAAGACGTACATGAGGTGGTACGGGAAGACATACATGAGATGGTATGAGAAGACGTACATGAGGTGGTATGAGAAGACGTACATGAGGTAGTACGAGAAGACGTACATGAGGTGGTACGGGAAGAAGTACATGAGGTGGTACAGGAAGACGTACATGAGGTGGTACGGGAAGAAGTACATGAGGTGGTACGGGAAGACGTACACATGAGGTGGTACGGGAAGAAGTACATGAGGTGGTATGGGAAGAAGTACATGAGGTGGTATGGGAAGACGTACATGAGGTGGTACGGAAAGACGTACATGAGATGGTATGAGAAGACGTATATGAGGTGGTACGGAAAGACGTGCATGAGATGGTATGCGAAGACGTACATGAGGTGGTACGAAAAGACGTACATGAGGTGGTACGGGAAGACATACATGAGATGGTATGAGAAGACGTACATGAGGTGGTACTACATGAGATGGTATGAGAAGACGTACATGAGGTGGTATGAGAAGACGTACATGAGGTGGTACGAGAAGAAGTACATGAGGTGGTACGAGAAGACGTACATGAGTTGATACGGAAAGACGTACATGAGGTAGTACAAGAAGACGTACGTGAGGTCGTATGAGAAAATACCGAAGTGGGATGAAAAGACGTAACAGTCGGTTCCGCAAAAAGTGGACCTGCTAGATCGATGTTGTAACTCTCCAGATGGACATTCATGAGCATCACATGAGGAAATTCGATTTACAATCAATTTGCAGGCCATTTGCTGCATGAAATGTCCGCAATGTATGTACACATATTACACAATAAATTTGAAGAAAAATGTCGACACCTTTATGACTCGATTCATGATCTCTTATGAGGCAAATTTGATGCAAATTGTGCATCACTGTCTATCTGGGATGGTTTTCAAAGAAAGGCATCGTTTCCACTCCTCGGATAGATATTCATGATCATCATGTGACGAGGAAAATCGATTTACAATCAATTTGCTGCATGAAATGTCCGCAATATATATACACAAATTACACATTAAATTTGAAGAAAAATTTCGACACTCTCACGACATATTTCATGATCTCTTATGAGATAAATTTGATGCAAATTTAGCATCTGGGTCAGTTTTCAAAAAAAGAAATCGTTTTCACTGGCCAGATAGAAATTCATGATGAAGTAAACGTTTATTCACAAGTGATGTATACTTTGAGAACTTTGAAAAAGTGAGGTTACGGTACCGCCATCTTTGTCGCATAGTTTACTAGGTATTTTACTTGGATTACGTAAAAGATCTCGAATGACGCGTTATTACACGACCCTGTTTCGGATGGTATAACAGTTAGAAGAGTCTCTTTTTACCGACGTCGATGAAATTTCTCTTTCACATCACCTCGAGGAGGGCTCGTCGAGTCTCGAGAAAAACTCGCAAATGTTTCTTCGAAGTTGCGGGAATTCGTTAGAAGCCTGAGTCAAGGGTCAGCCCCGACGACCCTCTCTTATCTGGCTGCTCGCTTATTGAATCTATCATTGAAAGACCGATACATTTTTCGGATCAACGTCCGACTTGTCTTTCATTATGTGGAAGCGAACTGTACTCTTAAAAAAAAGTATTATAATTTTGTAACACATTTTCAAAATAAAATGTACAACGTATGCTATAGATTACACATGTGTAAGTACATTTGCAAACAATGCGCACTAAATGACCTTCGAATATCAAATTTATGATTTTTCTACGGAATTTCGCAAAACTACAACGTGACGTTATAATATTTTAAATTTATTTGGAATTTCATAATAAATGTATAGTAATTCACTGTTAAGACATCCAAACTATAATTTCCCTGCAACCTTATGTACTGAAAGTGTACAACGTGTTGTTATAAAATTATAAATTTATTTGGAATTTCATAATAAATGTATAGTAATTCACTGTTAAGACATTCAATTTATAATTTCAATAATAATGAACGAGGCCTCTTTGACGCTACTTTCACATCCCCTTAAGGTGATATGAAAGTGTGATATATACATAATAAATAGTTAAAATATTTATATAACTTTTCCCCAAACCGGGTGCACGAATTATCTGAAACTTTAACACCTGATTATGGAAAATCCGAAGGAATAAGGCGCTGCTCATGAAATTTCATTTTTCGATAAAAATATTGTACTTATCTCGGACAAAAGTCAAAAAAGATATTTATTTTCGAAAAATGAAATTTCACGGGCAGCGTGTTCTTCCTTAGAGTCCCCATAATCACGTGTTAAAGATTTAGATAATTTGTTGCACCCAGTTTAGAGAAAGGTTTTATAAATATTTTAACTTTTTGGTATGTACATATCACACTTTCATGTCACCTTAAAAAGCATTATCTTTGATATCGAGGGGATCGGAGGGACACGCGACAAGTTGGGCTCTTGAGGCAAAGGTGACGACTGATAAGCGAGGAATGACGCTCAGTTGACGCTTAGATAACGTCTAGAGGGAAATGCTTCACCTTTCTTCCTCGCTCGACTTTCCCCGATTTTCTCTTGAGACTTATCTTGGGTCTCTTTGCTTTCAGATAAACGACACCCCAGGGTTCCTCAGGATGTGGTCGTCGGCGGTCGCGTTGCTCCTCCTGGGCCTCTGCACAGGACCTGGTGACTCCAGAGAGATAACGTAAGTAGGAAGTAAGAGGAAAATCCGCAATGTCGTCTTTTGCTAAGAGGGGAATTATCCTTTTCTCCGAGTGCAGGCACGAGGACATTAAGGACGCTATGCTGAGCTTGGTGCACATGATGCGCGAGAACACGGAGAAGCTGGAAAGGCACGAGGCCAGGGAACGCCAGCTAGGGGAACAGATGAGGAAGGCCATCGCCCTGCTGACGAAGAAGGTGGCCACCGTCGACGGGCTGAAGACGCACCTGGTCAAGTTGGACGAGAGGATCACGGGGATCGAACAGCTCATCTCCCAGGTAGCTTTTTAAAGATCACCTTAAGTAAGTCTGTTCAGTATCCATGTCGTTCAGTATTTTTGCTAAGGTTTCTGCTTCACTGAGAGCTGTTCACTGAGATCATGTGTTTTAAGGTGATGTAAAAGTGGCGTCGAAGAGGTCTCATTTATGAAACTTTTCTCCGGAGTCGGTTCAGTATCCGTACCGTTCAGTATTTTTGCTGAGGTTTCTTCTTCAGTGAGGGTTTTTCACTGAGATGATGTGTTTTAAGGCGATGTGAATGTGGCGTCGAAGAGGTCTCATTTATGAAACTTTTCTCCGGAGTCGGTTCAGCATCCGTACCGTTTAGCACTTTCGCTGAGATTTGTTCTTCTCTGAGAGCTGTTCACTGAGATTATGTGTTTTAAGGCGATATGAATGTGGCGTCAAAGAGGTCTCATTTATGAAACTTTTCTCCGGAGTCGGTTCAGCATCCGTACCGTTCAGCACTTTCGCTGAGATTTGTTCTTCACTGAGAGCTGTTCACTGAGATTATGTGTTTTAAGGCGATATGAATGTGGCGTCAAAGAGGTCTCGTTTATGAAACTTTTCTCCGGAGTCGGTTCAGCATCCCTACCGTTCAGTATTTTCGCTGAGGTTTCTTTTCCAGTGAGGGCTTTTCACTGAGATGATGTGCTTTAAGGCGATATGAATGTGGCGTCGAAGAGGTCTCATTTATGAAACTTTTCTCCGGAGTCGGTTCAGTATCCCTACCGTTCAGTATTTTCGCTGAGGTTTCTTTTCCAGTGAGGGCGATTCACTGAGATGATGTGCTTTAAGGTGATGTCAAAGTGGCGTCGAAAAGGTTTTGTTTATAAAACTTTTCCCCCAACTCGATTTACCGAATAATTTGAAACATTACAACGTGAATAGGGAGACTACAAGGAAGGTCCTGAAATTCATGAAATTATAATTCTTTTCGAATTTGTTTATAGGTATTTTAAAAATAGTTTATAGAAAATGAAATATCGCGAGTTTCAGGACCTACCTTAGGGTCTCCATATTCACGTGTTAAAGTATGAAACTATTTGAGACACCCAGGTCGTAGAAAAGTTTTATGAACGATTGAGCTTTCGGATGCCTCTCTCACATCCCCTTAAGGTTAAGAGTCTCCCTTGGAGAACCCCTCATAATTTCATAATTGTAAACGTGTCGCCTGGTGTTCAGAGGGACGAGCGGGAGCGAATACAGATGCAGAAGACGGCGGACGCGTTGGAGGACCTGGAGGGCCGCCTCGAGGGCTGGTTCACCGACATCGAGAACAAGGTCTCGGAGGTGAACACTCGGTCCCCGACGACGCCCTCGCCGGAGCCGACCTCGGAGAGTCCCCCCGACCTGGTGGCCAAGCTGAACGACACCGAGGCGAGGATCGGCGAGCACATCGCGCGCCTGGAGTCGGGCCTTCACGTGGTTTCCGACAGGCTTAAGGACGCCGCCGACGTGCAGGACTCCAAATTCGCAGACGTCGCCGCCGACGTAAGCTTTGCTCGCATTTTTTTCCCACCGGGAGGACCGAATAGTTTGACATTTTCCCACAAGAACATGGCGACCCTAAGGAAGGTCCCGACACCCATGAGATTTCATTTTGTCATCCCCTTAAGGTGATGTGAAAGGCGCTGAGAAATTTCATCGACGTCGATAAATTAAAATTCATCTATCATCCGCCTCCGATCTTATTGAGTTTCATATATGTTGAAGAACACAAAAATCTAAGAGACACGTGTTTTTTTATATTTGCAATGGTCCATATTTAAGGGGTGAAACAACCCCCCAAAGTTTAGCGAAAAATCGGTTTTTTAAATATTTTTCGTAGGGGCAGTGGAGGGATTTCGACGAAACTTTGCATAAACGTATTTTGTATAAGGACGGTGACAATGATTTGAAGGGGTTTCACTTCATCTTAAAAGCCTTTTTCTTCCAGGTGAGGCAGATCGGAACAAAAGTAGTGGACATGGAAGCGACCCTGCAGAGGGTGAGGGACCAGTTCCCCAGGGTGGACGTACCCCAGGACCAATTGCCGGACCCGGTGGTCGAAGAACAGAGCAGGACGCTCACCAGGATCAAGGAGCTGCTGGAGGACACGTCGGATCGCATCAGAGACTTGCCGAGGTGGAATTTCATTAATTTCTACTTACAAGACCTTCATAAAAATGCCGGAGTTGGTTCGCTATTTAAAGGATCCTGATTTAAAACAGGATTGCAGAGGTCCAATTGTTCCACAACGAGACACAGATGACTCTGCAGGAGGCTAAGCATGCTCTGGAGGATATCGTGACGAGAGGAGTGAACGGCATCGAGAGCAAAGTCGCAGAAAATAAGGAAGAGGCGAAGGACAACATCGAAGCGTTAAGGTGATATGAAAGGGTCATTCTATATATAAAAATATATAAAACATTTACTACTAATACAACTTTTCTACAAACTGGATGCACTGAATCGATGTAAACCTCACCGCGTGATTATAGAAACCCTAAGTAAGAACGTGGTGCTCGTGAAATTTCATTTTTTATTGTAATCTTTTTCATTTAGCCCAGACCAGGCATCTTTTTCATTTAGCCCTTTTCCCTCCAGGTTCCGCAGGACAGCGATGTCCTGCGGAAATCTGTGAGATAAGGTTGAATCTCCAATTTGATATTATGTGAAGAAAATTTTTAAGTAATAAAGTGTAATTACTCGTTAGCTATTAGGCTTAGGGCTAATAAAGGTCAATACTTTTTTACTCAGAATTCGATACTATACCATATTTTGCTATAAAAAATATAGTGTTCCGTTTAAGAAAACAAAGTTGCCTTTCAAATCTTTGAAACGCCTCGACCTATAAAAAAAATTGATGCACAGCGTAGTGCACCCTTTTAAACCATGTAACTTTTGTATATAACATTTTTTCGTGCAACGCATACTTTGGAGGTTATGACGGTGCACAGGTTGCGTGGTATGTTTTAGTCCTGCATCTCATATCTTTTATTCTTCCCCAGACTGGACTTGGTGAATAACGCGGAACGCGTTAAATCTTTGAAACGCCTCGACCAATAAAAAAAATTGATGCACAGCGCAGTGCACCCTTTTAAACCATGTAACTTTTGTATATAACATTTTTTCGTGCAACGCATACTTTGGAAGTTATAACGGTGCACAGGTTGCGTGGTATGGCTTAGTCCTGCATCTCATATGTTTTCTTCTTCCTCGGACTCGACTTGGCGAACAACGCGGAACGCGTTAAATCTTTGAAACGCCTCGACCAATAAAAAAAATGGATGCACAGCGCAGTGCACCCTTTTAAACCATGTAACTTTTGTATATAACATTTTTTCGTGCAACGCAGACTTTGGAGGTTATAACAGTGCACAGGTTGCGTGGTATGTTTTAGTCCTGCATCTCATATCTTTTATTCTTCCCCAGACTCGACTTGGCGAACAACGCGGAACGCGTTAATCAGGAACTCCACGATCTGGAAAAAGGCCAATCGGTTATGGTGTCCATGGCGGACCATGTCCTGGACACGAAGAAAAGAGTCGAATACGGGGTCCACCAGATACTTCTGGAAGTCGGGGACCTCGTTAAGGGACAAGGTGTTAATATTAATAACACCTTGCATTCCAAGATCAACGGCATGTCGGAAGACATCATTGATAACCAGAACGGAGCGGTCGCGAATCTGACGACCAAAATGGAGCAGGAGATGAATCAAGTAATTATCGTCAGCTATGTTTAAGAAGAAAGTTATGACATGCTATAGAAATAGAAATATGGTATACAAAAATGCTATGGAAAAGAACCGAGGACAATTTGGGGAAAAAGAGTTTCTGTATAAGCCTTAAAGGTGATATGAAAGAGTTGGCCTATATATGTATATATATAGGCTAACTCTTTCCTCTGATATATATCTGAGAAATCAAATCGTTGAGGAAAGTATTCTCCGAATTGGGTGTACCGATAAGTTTCAAATCTCACCACGGGAATATGGAAGCCCTAAAGTAGGTGCTGAAACTCATGAAATTTAATTTCTCATCAAAAATTGATTAACTTATGGACTAGAACCAACATGGCGTGGTCCGGTCACGTTTTCGATGTTTTACGCTTTTTGAAGGGTTGGAATAAAAAATGAGGAGTCTTAGAACCTAGATCGAACAATTTAGAGTACCGTAGAAATGGATTATTACGGAGTCAGATGGGAAAATATGGAAAATATTGTCACCAACGGTTGCAAGAGAATGCTGCCTTGTCTCGGGGATAACACTTCTTTCGAGTGAAAAAATTTAGTTGCAGCTAAACGTCACAGATGGCGACGTTTGTCCTAAACAGTCGTTGGAATAATGAATTCCCCGGATTTCGGCAGTTTTACGTCGATCTCTTCATCAATACTTTACCGAAAAGACATATGAAACGCTTCAGTTCGTATAATTCTCAACGTAGACTGTAAAATACTTCAACATAAATATAAAAGTCGGTAACGGGACGCGCCAGCTTATGTTATCAGCTGAGTATTTAGAACGGCGTTCCCACCATAAAGGGTATAAATGAATTTTAATTTATCGACCTCTTAAACTTCTCAGCGCCTTTCATATCATCTTAAAGGCTTGCCCAGAAACTTTTTCCCGACTTTAGAGTAATCGTATGTCTTGTTAAGGTCTGGCGGCAGATAAATGTCATGTACCAACAAATGGTGGAAAGTGCCAAGACGTTGGATAAGCTCCACAAACAGAACGAAGACTTCGTGAACGGAACCACCACTACGATGGACGGCATGGAGAACAAGGTACACTCCTAATATCTGATCACCATTCTATTTACAAAATGGAGTTTTTTCCAGAGTGCGCTGAAAATGCAGGGTACCCCATACGTCACTTTATCATTACAAAAATTGAATAACTTCATTGTCATTAACCCTCTATGGGCCCGTGTAACTTTCAGGTCACATTTTAAATGAAACATTTTTTTTCATTTGCATATATAGGTTTCTAATTGCTGATTTTTCGTTTCCCTAATTTTTTTTTATTGAAAACAAAAATTCGGCCCATAGAGGGTTAAGGTGATATGAAAGAGTCAGCCTACATATATCTGAGAGGTCAAATCGTTGGAGAAAGTATTCTCCGAGTTGGAAAGTTTTTTTTTGAAAAATCCAAATTTTCAATGTGTCAGGACAATTCTTAGATGATCAGGAGTGATGTGTCAAAGTTTCGAATAGTTTGGTCCAACACCCTTAACGAAAAGTGTTGTATTCGAATTGACTGATTTGAAGGGAGTTTCACTTCACCTTAAATGCCTCGATTTACAGGTGGGAGAGATCACAAAGAGGATGTCCGAGGTCGACGAGAATCTCAACTACCTTCTGGGCAGGCTGTCTTTGGTGACGCAGGAGTTCAACCAGATAAAGACGGGATTAGGCGCAGCTTTGGACAACATCAAAGCATCCTTCAAGGAACTTACCTTGGGCGAGAAGGCCAACTTAATCTGAGGACCGCCAGAAACTTGAAGTTTATGCCAAAGTTCGGCCGATATGCCGATATCGGAGGGTATCGATCGCGTTTTCGATCCTCGGACCACTTAAGGTCCCAGGACGAATCTGACGGCGAGAATAGTGGGACGATATTAAGGTGATGTGAAAATGGCGTCGAAGAAGCTTCGTTTATAAAGCTTTTCTTCCAATTCGGTTTACCGAATAATTTGAAACTATACAACGTGAATAGGAAGACTGTAAGGAAGATCCTAAAACTCATGAAATTTCAATTCTTTTCAAATTTGTTTATACGTATTTTAAAAATAGTTTATAAAAAATGAAATTTCGCGAGTTTAAGGACCTACCTTAGGGTCTCCATATCCACGTTTTAAAGTATGAAACGATTTGAGACACTCACTTCGTAGAAAAATTTTATGAACGATTGAGCTTTCGGATACCACTTTCACATCCCCTTAAGGTGATGCGAAAGTGGCGTCGAAAAGGTTTTGTTTATAAAACTTTTCTCCTAACTTGGTTTACCGAATAGTTTTAAACTTTACAACGTGAATAGGAAGACTGTAAGGAAGATCCTAAAACTCATGAAATTTCAATTCTTTTCAAATTTGTTTATAGGTATTTTAAAAATAGTTTATAGAAAATGAAATTTCGCGAGTTTAAGGACCTACCTTAGGGTACTTATTCCCTTCATATTAACATTGCACAGTTTGAGACGATTCGGTACACCCAGTTCGGAGAAAAGTTTTATAAAGGAGACTTCTTTAACGCCGCTTTCACATCACCTTAACGTGGAAATGAAATAATAAAGAAACATACAGGACACCGAGAAACGCATCCAAGGAACACTCTCGTCTCCCGACCACGAGGAGGCGATAAGAATTTTGTAAATATGTCAATGCCTTCTTCCGTGTCAATGCAAACGTCCGGTGGGATTGCATAATATGTAATGCAACTATCGGATAGAAATTTAATTTTTTTTCCTCGGCGTGATTCCGATCGTTCTCGTCAGGGTTTAATTGTTAAGGTGATATGAAAGGGTGATTCTATATATATCAAGACGTGAAAATATTTACGAATGATTGTCCCCTCAGACGACACTTTCGCATCCCCTTAAGGCGATATGAAAGGTGTCTGAGGTTTCGTTCATAAAACTTTTATCCAAACTGGGCACCCCGAAAAAGTTGAAACTGTAACACGTGATTATGGAGGTCCTAATATCCCCTTAAAGTGATATGAAAGGTGTCTGAGGTATCATTTGTAAAACTTTTATCCAAACCGGACGCATGGAATAATGTGAAACTGTAACACGTGATTATGGAGGTCCTAATATCCCCTTAAGGCGATATGAAAGTGTTGTCTAAGAGGTTTCATTCGTAAAACTATTATCCAAACCGGACGCATGGAATAATTTGAAACTTTAACCCGTGATTATGGAGGTCCTAATAAAAGTCCTAAAAGTCTTGAAAGTCTCCAAATTTAGTTTCTCGGAAAACAACATTTTTTTTTCTGTTTCTTGTTCGGGATAAATTCAAAATATCTTTCGAAAATTGAAATTTCCCGCGTTTCAAGACCTTCATTAGGACCTCCATAATCATATATTAAGGCTTCAAATTATTTAGTGCACCAAGTTTGGAGAAAAGTTTTACGAACGAAACCTCTCACACACTTTAAGGCGATATGAAAATAGCCTCTGAGGAGTTATTCATAAATCTCTTCACATTTTGTTATATATCTATAGGACGACCCTTTCGTATCACCTTAACAATTAATTCTTATCGAGGGCAATCGGAATCACGCCAAGATAATAACATGTTAACGTGTCGAGGATTTGCGGCTCGAAGAAGAGGAAGAAAAAAAAAGAAAAGTATCGATGAAAGTCAAAGGAAATGTGTGGAAAGGATTTGTAGAGATACATTTAAGCCCCTTCGAGAACATCCGCCATTTTTCTACGGGATCTTTCCTTTTTCTTTTCTTTTCTTTTTTAACCGCCATGTAGAGCTGAGAGCCAGACAACGCTGAAGCATAAAACAGAGTCAACTTCGTTTAATAAGTCCCCCCTAGTATTATAATAATACAATTATGATAATAATAGTATCATACAAGTAATAATACACGATAATTTTTAATGATTATGTTACCCGAGCGTTATTAGAAGCACTTTGACGTCTGTCGTGTCCCTTCCTTTTTGGCAAAATGCTCGATGAAAACTTGAAAAAATCTTATTACTCGTTATCAGCAATGTTTGTTACATTATCCTTGCCCCCGCAACTCGGCCGGAAAAGTGTGCCAGATTCAGACAATCGAGTAAACAGCGAGAACGAACACGAGTTTACGTTTTCGCAGGAATGATAATTAGATAATATAATAAGGCGATAATTATATAATTACCCGGACAAAAGGTTGCACGGAGGATGCGAGAAAGGGGGAACGGGAATTTGTGGGAAATTCGCGGTCCATTTCGCGTCGTTAAACAATTTTCCATAAATCGACATCCAAGTAGAAAACGATGGAACGGAATTGCGTAAAAAATTTGCGGCCCAAATTTTATCGATAAACAATTTTGCAAAATCGACAAAGACGGAACAGAATTTGTAGGAAATTCGCCGTTCAAGTTTCACCGTCAAACGATTTTGCAAAATCAACATCCAAATCGGGAACGATGAAATAGAATTCATGGAAAATTTGCGGCCGAATTTCTGTCATTAAACAATTTTACAAAATCAACATCCCGACCGGAAACGACGTACTAGAATTTACAAAAAGTATTTGGCCGAAATTCTATCGTCAAACAATTTTGCAAAATTGACAAAAACTGAACAGAATTCGTAGGAAATTCGCGATCCCTGTTTCATCGTTAAACAATTTTGCAAAATCGACAAAAACCGGACAAAATGTGTAGGAAATTCACGACCCCTGTTTCATCGTTAAACAGTTTTGAAAAATCGACAAAAACGGAACAGAATTCGTAGGAAACTCGCGAGCCTTGTTTCGTCGTTAAACAATTTTGCAAAATCGACAAAAACGTAACAAAATTCCCGGTCCAAGTTTCATCGTCAATTTTGCAAAAAGAAGACACGCAATAAATAAACTCGTTAAAAGGGAGAGGAAAAACAAGAACCCAAGAAAAGGGCATATACACGGGGAAGCGACAAGAAGGATATATGTACAGTGCTCCGAAAATGAATAAACAAATAGGCAAAAGACGTTTAATCGTTATCCCTGAATCTAGCACGCCCCGACCCGAGGCTAAGTGTTATCACATGCTACTATATATAATATATACATGACACTTATATATTATANTATATATATACGCACTTGCCGTAATATACAGAACATTCTGGTAATCTAATTCGATAGTTCATTACATTATTATCGCTCGTCTTATGCGCGCTGGTGAGAATGTGTGTATCTCCCGGCTAGTGAGATAACCCCGAATTAAACGTTAGTCACTTTACAATAATTATCCCCACTCCTCCACGGTACTTGTATAATTCCCTTACCGTTTGTATCTCATTATAGTAATTATAAATTAATATTATTAATTAAATAACAACGCGCCTCGCCCCCTGTGCTTATTTATACGGTCTCTCGAGGGTCCTGGAGCCCTGCCCCAAAAATACCATAAATTCAATTAAATCTACCATTTCCTCCACGCAGAAATATATTCCATTCAATCGATACGTTTAGTTGGATTACCCATAAAATATGGTTATTATACCGACAGCCAAATATTCAGTCAACTGGACAAAGCGCTTTGATTAATCACTTATGGCTAATTATGACAAATGTGAAATCTACCATTTCCAGTATAATCCACGCAGAAAAATATTTGGTTGAATACGATTTGTCGGTTTAACCATAAAATATGGTTATTATACAACCCTCGGACATTTTTATACGGAACTCTCACGACATATGGGCGAAATTCATCAAGGCGTGCCGGCAAAATTGGACCAAACGTCGGACGCCTTAAGGTGATATGAAAGTGTGACGCATGTACTAAAAAGTGAAAATATTTATGAAACTTTTCTCCAAACTGGGTGCACCGAATGTCTACAAGTTTAATACGTGATTATGGAGGCTCTAAGGAAGAACGAGATGCCCGTGAAATTTCATTTTTCGAAAAAAAAATATCCTTTTTGATTCTTGTCCGGGATAAGTACAATATTTATGTCGAAAAAAGAAATTTCATGAGCAGCGCCAATATTCCTTCGGGCTTTCATAATCAGGTGTTAAAGTTTCAGATAATTAGTGCACCCTGTTTGGGGAAAAGTTATATAAATATTTTCACTTTTTCTTATGTATACATCACATTTTCATATCACCTTAAAGCGCCTTTAGTAGCCAAAGGGTTAAATATTTATGTTATTGGCTGAACAATTTTCCAAAGTTAAAGTCAGTTAATCGAAGCAAGCTGGTTTAGTCAATCGACCTAAAATTCGATTACCTAATCCAAAACATTTTCTTAAATGAACGAAATGTATATAGTCAATTGAATTATTATGTTAATTAACCAAATTTGTTCCCTGCGTGTCTTACAGAGGAGGAGGAGAACAAGAAGAGGAAGAAAGCGAGAAGAATGGCGCCTTCGGGGCAGGCGTCCCTTACCCTCTTCCACTCTGCCGAAAAATCTCGTAATCGCCTATTAAACCTCTCGCAATATTGTCACCCTGCAACAATTGTTAACGAATTACGCCACCGTGTCCCATGTAGAATCTTCTCCCCGAGTCCTCCTAAACTTCTCTTCGACATCATTCGCTCAAGCTCTCGACTCTCGCACTCGCCTAAATTAATATGTACAGCTTCTCTTATATTAACGCGCAAGTACACCTCGTTACGACGGTAGATTCCCAAGTGTAATGTTAAGAGTTTTTGCGGGTCCGCTATATCCAGCTATCGTTAGACTTTGCACAATGTGTATAAAAGGTAGATCTGTTCTCTCCGACGTATAGAAAGGACGTGATTGGGTGAATTCATAAAGATGCGTTCGAACAAAAAATTGACAAATCATTTGAAAAAGGAAAAACCTCTCTAAGTATTATTTTTTATTGAGTTGTTTCAAAAGTTCATGGACAAATTGGTAAAAGACGTGATTGGGTGAAATAAAAATGCGTACAAGCAGAGAATCGACAAATCATTTGCAAAAGGAAAGACGTCTCTAAATGTTATTTTTTATTCATTTGTTTCATAAATTCAGGTATAAATTGGTAAAAGACGTGATTGGATGAAATAAAAATGCGTACGAACAAAGAATCGACGAATCATTTGCAAAAAGAAAGACGTCTCTAAATGTTATTTTTTATTAATTTGTTTCATAAATTCATGAATAAATTGGTAAAAGACGTGATTGGGTGAATTCATAAAGATGCGTACGAGCCGCGAATCGACAAATCATTTGCATGGGCATATATAATATATATAACGAGAACTCTATAATAGCAGCTCTCGCAAGTTTCACTTGCTCATAGACACAAGTGATTACAATTGCCACGAAGAAAAAGAGAATAATGACCCATAAGAAGTGTCCCTTGATAAAAAAACAAGATTTGTCCATGAATTAAGGAACAATCCAATAAAACTCATTGTCGAGTCGTTTTCCCGAAGAATCTCGTCCATCTTTCCAACGGAGACGCGGTCGAGCGTTTCAAAAATCGAGACAATCAGGAAACCCGGTAGAGTTTCGCGCCAAGTACACAAATAAGCATCCTTATTTACCGGTGACCCGTGCAAAAAAATAAGCCTCCTGAACACTGAACGATAAATTCGCCAAATTCCAAGTATCACAGAGTCATGGCTCGCGCAGAAAGTGTGCTATTTTCGTCTGACTTATGCTCATGGCTTAGGGAGTACACGTCACCTCGTTTATTTTTTCCCCGAAAGAAAAATGTGTCTTTGTCTCCCCTGTATTAAGGTGGTATGAAAGAGTAATTCCATATATATCAAAACGTGAAAATATTTATAAAACTTTTCCTTCAAACTAGGTGCGCCAAATTATCTTAAACTACCACGTGATTAAGGGAGCCCTAAGAAAGAACGCGATGCTCATGAGATTTCGTTTTCCAAAAATAAATGTCTTTTTTCGGCTCTTCTCCGAGATAAGTAAACATTTCTTTCCGAAAGATGAAATTTCACGAGCATCGCGTTTTTCCTTAAGGCCTCCATAATCTCGTGATGAAGTTTCAAATTATTCGTCGATGCATCCAGTTTGAAGAATATTTTTACAAATATTTTCATTTTTTGGTATTTATATATCACACTTTCATATCACCTTAAGGCCTTTGCTCATATCCCACTTTTATAAAAACATCCTTAAAAGATGCTATAAATGACAGACTGCGGCAGCGATGCCTAGTCATACTTTCTTTTAACACTTTGGGTGCTAAGTACTTTCGGCGTATGGGCGAATTTCGTCAGGGCGTGCTAGCGATATTCGACCAAACGTCGGACGCACATATGCGTCGACAGCGCTCAAAGGGTTAACACTTTGCGATCCGCTATACATATTTTGAGGTGTTACGAAAGGGCCATTAAATATGTATATAATGTAATCGACGCCTCAGAAACCAATTTCATATAATACCATTAAGGTGATGCAAAAGTGGCGTCAAAGAGTCATTCCTGCAACTTTTCTCCAAACTGGGTATACCGAATCGACTCACAATTTACAATGTAAATATGAAGGGTCTAAGGAAGGTCCTGAAACTCCGGAAATTTCAATTCTTCTTAAATTTCTTCATAGATATTTCATAAATTTGTTATAAAAATTGAAATTTCATTAGTGTCAGGACCTTCCTTGTAACCTCCAGATTCATGTTAAAAAGTCTTAAACGATTCGGTAAACCCAGTTCGGAGGTTTCATAAATGAGACCTCTCTGACGTCACTTTCACCAAAGAAATTAAATCGACGTCGATAAAGTAAAATAGTATAAATTTAATCGACGTCGACAAAGTAAAATAATATAAATTTAATCGCCGTCGATAAAATAAAATAGTATAAATTAAATCGACGTCGACAAAGTAAAATAGTATAAATTTAATCGACGTCGATAAAGTAAAATAGTATAAATTTAATCGACGTCGATAAAGTAAAATAGTACAAAATGAATCGACGTCGATAAAGTTCCGCACATACAGTTCGGAGAAAAGTTTCATTAACGATTGACTTCAGACGCCACTTTCACATCCCCTTAAAAATGGCCATAAGAGTAAGATATGAGTAAAGGCCTACGAGTTTCCCTGTTCCCTCGCGAACTAAGCGGACAAAGCGTGATTTCGCGTCCTCTTTCCCCCCGACACGATTTAACATTACTAAAGCCTTTTTCGCGCCTTACCCTTTAAACTATATAATAGCTTACGACAAATTTGTGCTCGCCTATATCTAATCAATGGTACAATAGTGTCGGTTTCGTTCGAGTCAGCTGATGCGGCAATGTCTCTGCAAAGGTACTTCGCCCTCGTGCATGTGATAAGACTCGACAAGAAATGCACCGAGACGACGAAATGTTTATCGAAGAGTGATTTTTAACTCAGAGTCAAAGACAAACAGCAATTCTAGAAATTTCCTGGCCCAAGCCTTAAGGTGATATGAAAGTGATATATATGTTACCGTGAATGACCGAAATTGGAGAATGTCGACTTTCACCGGTGAATGTCAACAGATACCAAATACGTCGGTGAAAGATAGAATATTTCATTACATTGTTGTACATTCGGACCCTCTCCAGAGTGTGTCGACAATCACAGATATTAGTGCATGGTGAACGTCAACATTTACCGGTGTAAGTCAGAAATAAGGGTATTTAGCAAATATTTCGGACATACACTAAGCGACTATGTGAATGTTAACATTCATCGGTGAAAGTCGACATTCTCCAGATTTCGGTGTTTCACTGTAACATATATATATACCTAAACGTCAAAAAGTGTAAAAATAAAATCATGGGTTAAAAACATAAATATTCCCCCATATTCATTTAGAGCGTGATTAACTAATCATATACACCATTTGAAGTAAGTTTAATTGTCAATGAGTGCATTCACGTGATTAGCTGATACTCTGATTGATTAGAAAGCAATTTAGATGCGCCCTTATCGGAAGACAAAGTCCCCTAGCTTCATGCAAAAACTTATTAGACAGATAATAGCCTCAAGAAGTAAACTTCTTCGATTAAAAATGAATATAAAATATTTTCAAGCGTACTTCGATCATTATAAATAAAATCAAAAACGTCTTCATCCGTTTCGTCGTAAGATGTTAATACACGTTCAATCTAACCCACGTTTTCCTCACATTTATGCAGTTTTTAGGTTTAAGTTCGATTAACTGTCGCTAAACGATCGAATTTGGTTAATCTAACCGGCGGTTAATGGGAACTAACTCGTAACCCAGGATTAACTTTTTGACCGAGGTTGGTGGAGCTGAGCATAAGGACACACTGATAAGGTTTTAGACACCCATCGATATATATATTTTTTTTTTTCATTCGATACCCAATAATTTGGTGTATCGAAGAAGTCATCGAAGGATCGATGATCTTTTCCAATCGATATGAAAAATCAAAGGATGCTTCAAATCATCTCTACGGTTACTCTGGCGCTAACTGCAGTTTGCTTTACGATTACATTGTATACCTTTTCCAAAATACATGGATATCAAATCGAAGTTGGCAAACTACGGTTGGAATAAGATTGGTCTTAACGCGAAATACTTTTTTTTTAATTTGTTTTTATAATTCTGCTGCTGTGTCCTTTTCTCTGCGCAAAGCGTCAAATTCAAGCGGCTTCCAAGCTCGTCGGTCTATTTTCGGGCCAAGTTTAAGGGCATATGATGACGGGAAATTAAGCGAATCCCTTTCGCTACAGTGTATTGCTCCAAGTTCGATGCAAACGGATAATTGTCAGCTCCGAGAGCCGTCGAGAGAAAGATCTCCCCATTCGGTCGGCTAACAAGGAAACATTCCCAAGTGTCCGCCTCCGATCATATTGAGTTTCATATATGTTGAAGAACACAAAAATCTAAGAGACACGTGTTTTTTTATATCTGCAATGGTCCACATTTAAGGGGTGAAACAACCCCCCAAAGTTTAGCGAAAAATCGGTTTTTTAAATATTCTTCGTAGGAGCAGTGGAGGGATTTCGACGAAACTTTGTATAAACGTATTCTGTATAAGGACGGTGACAACACAATATTGTTCAGCAATGTTGCACCCCCTCAAGGGGGTGAACTACCCTTCGGGTGACATTTTTATGTAATATCCATTAAACAAGCACTCCTACTTAAGTTCCACTTACGCGATGTGATTGCTCGCAAAAAATTAAGTAATTAGTATATACACCCACGTATGCAAGTGTGTATATTTGGCGCGAAACTCTTCCGAATTTCCTGATCATTCCGAAACACAAGAGTCCAACGCCATATCGATTCTGGTCCAGGTTAAGTGAAAAACATTTTATTAGAAAATCGACATCTCGAAAGTATCGGAACGTCCCTTATGTGCTCACAAGTCACGTGCCGAAGTTTCAACCAATTCTGTGGAATACCCTCGATAAAAAAGTGTCATATTCATATCGAGCGGTTTAAGGGGGGGTTTCACTTCACCTTAACGATGCATCAACGACGATACACCACGCAGAGAAACAATCGGTTGAGTAAATAAATGTTTTCTTAGTCCACCCATGGAATACGGTTATTACACCGCCAACCAAATACACGGTTGACAAGACTCTTTGGTTAACTTTTGGTTGATCACATAAAAACTCGCGCCAAGTACTTAAAGTAATTCGGTACATCTTAACGAGAACTTTCGCTTCGTAGACAAAGATACCGTCTAAAAGTAAGAAAACGGTGTAACCGAAGCACCCCACAGTCGATCGAAGCAAACGAGTTCGAGATGAAATTCGATTCGCAGTCGAAACATTATTTCAAATTAATCGAATACAGTAGCTCTAACGGTTACACTAGACGAACCGAATTTCTTTCCTGCATGTACACCCTCCGACAGGACCCATCGAAACTCCTTCGGAGGCAACACCAGTCACCCTTCGAATAAATACCCTGATCTATATACTAATTGGATAGTTAATACCTATTTGTTCCATGCGAAGAGGACTTCGACGAATACAAGGCACCCCAGCGCCCCTACACATGGACAGCGGTACTAAATGAGTGACTCCCGCGCATGCGCAAAAGTTTTAAATCATCAATTTGCGAAGGTAAACGTTTAATGTACAAAGGACCGAAGAGACATAATTTAATAATATCATAATTTACGTGTAAAATGGCGCGCAGGGTATGTCGTAAGAAAGCATCGACTAAAACAAAACGGTTACCTTTCCTCTCGTTAAGTATTTGAACAAAAAGGACAATTATTATCTTCCAGGGAATTAATCTGACCCCTCTTATATGGATCTACGATTGAAGATGCATTGTTTCGACGCATGCGCAAATACTATGGTGTTAGTTTATGCGTCCATGGCTAGAGGCGCTCTGGTTGCTTCAAAACGTCCCGCAATTTTGTAGGTTATTAGCTGTTCAGTCAGTATACAGATCAGTTAATAAATACTATACATCCGACCGTGAGCAAACATTCGCCAGCCGAATCAAGCTCGAGGAATGAAAATTCGGCGGCGCTCGCAATTAGCTATTATTTACAGAATGTGACGCGCCCCAAAATGAAGTTTTCAATTGTCCACCGGATATGAATATTACAATACTCGTGGTGCCCGTTCAACCGGCAGCACTTAATATAGACTTTATACTTAACTAGAGAACCTATCCGGCATGTTACAATTAACGAGATTGCCTTTGTGCACGACACCCTTCGAAGACTCCCTCCGAAGGGCATCCAAGATTGCGTAGCGAAGAAGTGCACCGAAGTGCAGTGGCTCCGCTGTGGACACATCGCAGTGGCTGCTCCCTTGGGTTTCGCAACCCTTATCGTACTTTGAGCTCCATAAGCCTCTATTACATTAGATGCATAGGCGCAGAACTAATAACACTAGCGACAACGCAGGACAGAACTTGTTAGGTTAGACTCTAGTTAGCTATCGGTGGGAACGAAGGACGATTTACACATTTTCTCACCCCCTATCCTAATGATTCCTCTCCGAATGACCTCGGGTCATGCCAATGCACAAGCTCAAAGAAGAAAAAGAGAGCTATCCCTAGGAGGCTAAATTTACAAGTGCTCGACTAAATCGCCTAGTCGACTAAACGAAACGGTATCGAAGCAGCAGGTTACGCAAGACATTCCTCTGTAACCCAGTTTTCCATATTCAAGCCAGTTAAAAGAGAAATAACCACTATTACATGAAATTTCCAAATGTCAACCTTCCGACATTAATTAACTACTTTAAGAATCTACAATTGATATAAATCGCTATAAATTAAAACGTTAATGAATTTACAATTTATGAACAAATGTCCTAGGTTACAAAGGAGTGTTACAATGATGAGGCGATACGTTAAGTTTTGCTGGAAAACTCAAATGGAACTTAAAAAATATCGATAGACTTAGGTTATGTGACTCCAATATCACATGACGTTATAGAGGGTTATACAGATTCCGATAGAAGGTAAAAATTTTCCCTAGCGAGTTAGTTTAGCATGTCGTGTGCAAACCTCCTCCGTACAATTAGACGAACGGTATCAAATAGTAAAATGCTAAATTGACCGAGGAGTAATGAAAGTTCAATGTCAAGTGTATACTACGCAGAGTCTCCGACAGACCGGAGGGCTAATGTCTTCACCGAAGACTGGCTATAAATCGTAAGATGTACGACTATGCGTCTAGTTTAACAGTGGCTTCACAGTTACAAGACGCCTAGCTCCGAAATCATTCCCTCGGAGGAGCTGTATTCGTAAATATTTAATGTATGTCGAAGCATTTCGAGTAATTGTAGTGGACGACCATTTATGCTATTATACGAGGAGGATAAATGGCTAACATCGACTGGCTTAACGGTACGCGTTAAATGCAGTTTTGAGAAGTCATGTGACGGGCCTATAGTAATCATTTGTAACACCGCTTGTCGACGCGTTACTTATTTCTCATTGATTTCACTTCTTCTTGCTATGCTAAATTCATCGCGACGATCACTTGTTGAGTAAGCTCAGTAAAGAGAGCATCGCTGGATGAATATTGCACAAAATCACCACCCTTTCAACAGTTCGACAACATTCCAATCCATCGACTAACCCTCCGTAACCCAATTGTTCTTTTTTTTTTCAAGCCAAGAAATAACCAATATGCCGTAAAACATGGAAACGGTACCCTTCTGTCATTAACTACTTTACAAATTTAAAATTGATAAACTTACAATTTATAAACTAAATTCTTGGTTGCGAAGGGGAGGTACGATAACAAGGTACTGCGTAAGCGAAATGAGACTTAAAAAATATAGATACATGGGTATGCGTCTTCACAATTACATGGCGTTATAGAGGGTTAACCATAAATAGATTGTCGTGCATAACCATTCACGAAACTTAGTTACTATGGCAAAAGAAATACTATTTCAGACCATGAAGTAGCACAAGAAGCTCCCACTCTATGGATCTTTTCAGAAAATTCTGAGACCACAATTTCTTGCCAAGTTAGCCGACAGTAACATGAGCGATCCCTGCGGGGAAAAATGTAACTTAATTATGCCACGTGGCGACGCTTAAAGTATGAATCAAATATGATACTACGTGTGGTACATATGTAAACACAGCCGGCTCGTATAACCTGCAACTTCATAAAATTGTATTCCATCCAGACTTGAAATCTCGCCTCTACTTTTATTAAATATCTGACCACACATCGAGCACGAACACATACCAAATATGTTTAAATCACGCACCCATTGCACGGTAAGAATCGGTAACCCGCACGTTGGCAAAATGGAAAAAAAAAGAAAAAGAACATCATTAGTATCGCCATCTGTAGGAATCGTCAGAATCTATTAAGCCTCTCATATTTCACGCAATTAGTGCAAAGATCATACGTGGTTAATAAACATCACATCCACGATCATCATACACGTACTTCTTATACATTATACCAGGTATTAGTGAACCTTTTAGTATCGAATTTTCCCACAAGAGTCGCTAGTATCACTACCGGCTAACTTGGCATTGCAACACAGGATTACTGTTACAAGAAAATAAGAGCTCTTTACGCTACATTGTGCTTCGAACCTTTACAATCCAATTAGATAATTATTAATAACACCTTATTCTCCACAAGAGGCAGAACTCTCCGAGGTACGCGAGGCATGACTTTAGCACAGCAAGGAGAGCCTCGAGATTTGACAATAATTTCCCTATACACGTACACTTCCAATGCAATGGAAACGTCATTAAAAAGACCTAGCCTACGACAAGCCGTGTAAAGGACCTTGTGCCGTGACCGAGCATAGTACCCAAGCCGAACTTGCTTCGCATTTAACATAGAAAACTAGGATTTAGCCAAGCTTCCGCCTCGATGACTCCCCTCCCATTCGATGCATCGCTCTTACAAACGGTTCGATCGAGTCAAATAAAGCTATTCAATTAAATTCGGAGTATTCGGACGCATCGCACCGGAACGCAGTGGATTAAATTCGGCTAAGAGCACGCGGAAGGAGTATACTGGATACCCGCGTTGAAAACTCGGAGGTTTTCTCCCTTTTTCTTTTCTTTCTTACTTTTTTTTTTCTTTTTCTTTTTCGTGTGCGAAGGACCTCAGACCTAAGAGCTCGAGAGCTTTTACTTTCTCGCACGATCGTTATAATTTTATGCTTCGATTATCAATTATTAATCGTCACACTTCACACATCCACCAGGGCGAAGAATTCTAAAAGCCTCCAAAGAAGCCCAGAATAACATGAGCGTTTAGAGCTCGATGAATCCGGAAACTCGGTAGAGTTTCGCGCCAAATACACACACGCACACACACATTCTACCATACGTATATATACGCGCACGCCACCAAGTCCTTAACGCTAAGTTTGGGCATGGAACATTTGTGAGAATTAATATCTCCGTATCTCTAAGTCTTCGCAATTCACATCTCGGTGGTTAACGACTGAGATGCGTAAATAACAAATACCATTCGCAGTTGCTGTAATTTTTTCTACTCATTGAAATTCACATATCAGTGATTCACGACCGAGATACGTAAATAACAAATGCTTTGCGCAGTTGCTGTAATTTTTGTTTCTCGATTCATCGAAATTCACATCTCGGTGGTTTCCACGGTTGAGATGTGTAAATAACAATTCTTTCGCGGTTGCTATAATTTATCTTAGATTCATTGGCTAGTAGTTAGCCAACGGATGGCGGCGCTGTGATCGTCTCTCCGTCTCTCCTAATCTTACGGCAATAAATAGCGGATTACATGCGTTCTTTGTATTATTCGCAGAAACAGTTTTCTACGCGCGTCTCTCTTCCTCTGATATATGAGACGAACGCGTTTCTCGCATCACTCAACGCTAAGAGTCTCTCAAAAATGTATTTGGCTCGAAACTCTACCAAGTTCCTTTACGCCGATGGGAAACACGTGCCATCTCTCTTCTATTTCAGAGCACCAAGCGCTAATACAAGATCTAGGCTTCGATGGAACCCCTGAATTCTTTAACCGGGGTTTGGAGAACCAATTCTCAGCGTTAGCACGATCGTTCCAAACAAATCCGTTTCCCTATACGTCGCTATGGCGCTTTTTCGCCATTCAACGTTTACCTCGGTCCGTAAAGAACCCATGCGTACAATATTCCACGTTGCAAACTCCCTTTTGCAAATCCTTAGAATAAAAAGTATAAGACGAATGCGCGAGAAATTGCTTCCAAACCCTGAGTCAAGCCCACTCCTTATCAGACATACGAAACATAACCTATCGATGCATCGCAGTGCAAGATCAGTAATGGCGTTTCCACCTGGTTACACCGAGCACCACTAATGTAGAGTATTAACACTAAACGTGTTCGACTGGTCAGTGTTGTGTCTATTCTGCCGGTGTACATTGTCTACTCGACATTGTTGCACTTGTTCTGCACTCTATTCGTTACATTTTTATCGCCATTGAAGCGAACAAGGGTGAAAAAAGTGCAAGATGGCGGCGTCCTCGAAGAACCAACGGAAATATTTCCAAACGCTCTTGAATTTGTTCAGTTCTTTAAATGATGAATTAGAAATGGTTGCGATAATCAATTAAAACGATCAACGTATGTCGGATTACTAGTACACTTATTCTGCACTCGATTCGTTACACTTTTACCACCATTGAAGCAAGCAAGGGTGATGAAAATGCAAGATGGCGGCGCCCTTGGACAACCAACAGATATATTTCCAAACGCTCTTGGATTTTCTTCAGTTCTTTAAATGATGAATTAGAAATGCTTGCGATAATCAATGAAAACGATCAACGTATGTCGGATTACTAGTACACTTATTCTGCACTCGATTCGTTACACTTTTACCACCATGAAGCAAACAAGGATGATAAAAATGCAAGATGGTGGCGTCCTCGAAAAACCAACGCAAATATTTCGAAACACTCTTGAATTTGTTCAGTTCTTTAAATGAAGATGAATTGGAAATGCTTGCGATAATCAATTAAAACGATCAACGTATGTCGGACTACTAGTACCCTTATTCTGCACTCGATTCGTTACACTTTTACCACCATTGAAGCAAGCAAGGGTGATAAAAATGCAAGATGGCGGCGTCCTCGAAAAACCAAGCAAGCCTAACCCTCGAAAGTTCATCCTCCACCACGGGGCACCGACAGGGAGTATCAAGACCCACAAAGAGAGCGGATCGGCTCACCACAGCCGAAACCGCGATTACTGCGCACGCGCACCGCCCAGATGCGCCACCGGTGTAGAAAAAGTGAAGCCCAGCTGGAAGCGCCACGTTGACGCACGTAAAGTAAGGAAAAATAAATGCCTCACATTGCGAGAGGGAGAGAGAGAGAGAGAAAGAGAGAGAGAGTGAGAGCGAGAGTCTCACTCTCCCCGCGGGACAGTTTATCCGATTTCCCTAACCGTTAAAGCGTCTCGTTCGAGAGCGTGTAAACAAATGGCACTCCGTTTAAAGGTGTTCCCCCGACCGGTCGTCGTCTAGCTGCGCCTCTCCACGTCCTCGAGGTTATACCGTCACTCTTCCTTGGACCGTACTCTCGGCGTTCGGCTAAAGTCAGGCGACTGCTAGCTCGAGTCGCTCGACGTGGATATGCGCAGCTGACGTTTGCCGCGCCGACGGGGGTGAGAGTGGTCCTAGCTGCTTGTCGAGGCTATTGGACTGACGGGGCTTAAGGGGCTCCGTGCCGAGTCCCTCAAGCACCCTGTCAACGTGATGACCAGCTTGCGACTGCCGGCGTGGTCGCGGTGCTCGCACAGCCAGACACCCTGCCAAGTGCCCAGGGCCAACTTCCCGTCCGTGATCGGGATGCTCAGCGAGGATCCCAGGAAACACGCCTTCACGTGCGCGGGCTGCAACAAGTCGAGAGAGGACGTTTCAACACAGTTACGATGATATGAAAGGCGCTGGGGAATTTAATCGACGTCGATGAAATCAAATTCATCTGTACTCTTTTTAGGGGGAATACTCAAGTGGTAACATAAATTGGCTTGTCCCGTTACCGACATTTATATCTATGTTCAAGTCTTTTACAGTCTACGTTGAGAATTATACGAACTGAAGGGTTCTATATGTCACATCGGTAAAGTAATGATAAAAAGATCGATGCAAAACTGTCGAAATCCCATGTATTCATGACTGTTTGTATTCTAACGGACCAACGTCGCCATCTGTGACGTTTAACTGTAACTAATTTTTTGCTATAGAAACACGTGTTAGCCATGGGACAAGCCAACATTATCTTACAATTGTTGGTGAAAATATTTTCCATATTTTCCCGTCTGACTATGTTATATTCCATTTATATGATATTCTAAATTGTTCGAGCTAGGTTCTGAAACTCTTCATTTGCGATTCTAAGCCTTCAAAAAGCGTAAAACATCAAAAACGTGTACAGACCATGACATGTTGGTTCTAGTCCCCATGATAAGTAAATAAATTTTGAATGAAAAATGAAATTTCATGAGTTTCAGGACCTACTTTAGGGCCTGCATATTCACGTGGTAAAATTTGAAACGAATCGGTAAGCCCCAACTCGGAGAACACTTTTCCCAACGATTTGACTTCTCAGATATATATATATGCTGAGACTTTCATATCCTCTTAAGGAGTGATATTACCAAGGGTCTATTTGATCCAGATAACGGCAAATGATGTGAAATTAAGGAAGACATCAAGATTAATGAAAATCTATGGATGTTATTCATAATTCTTAATCGTCCCTCCACGAAATGCTTTGACGTGTTTAGCACTGCTCATTTTGGGCGTGATTAGTGTTATTCCTTATCTCTGTTATCCTATTGTTTACCTTAAATATCAATAAATAACCGAGAAAATAGAGCTAACATAAAAATATAAGCAAATCATCTCAATACTAACACACAAAGATGAACGTAAATAATAATTTACCGTAAGAAAAGGAAATCAAAGAAAGCGTTTCACTTTTCTAATTGGTTCCCTAATGTAATCTAAACTTACACCTACTGCAGTTCCATAAAGAATTTAACTTCAATTAAACTTCTAACCTCAATTATATTTCCCTCTTACAGTAAAAAAACTTACGATTTCTCATTAACCTCTACAGAACCTCTAGAAGAAGACAGTCGATCGACTCACCATGTCGTCGGGTCCTTCGCAACTGTGCCTGTATGGCATCTCTTCAGGAACTATTTTATTAAGCATCATTTCCATGTCGTCTCTGACATCCGGATCCCAGCTCTCGTTCAGTGCCAGACTGGCCGATGTGTGAAGAACTGAGACAAGTAATTGCGCAAAACATTCCCATTAATTCCCAATGAACTGATAAAGAGTAAACACTGCACATAAACGATCTCAAAATAACAAAATGACCTGCTGCAACTTTTTCTCTTAAGAAATGCAAGTTAAAGAGACCTCAAAACCGGTTGAGGTGGTTTACCCGAGTCACGGAAAGGAGCAAGGAAGAAAGAAACGTAAAGCCTGGTTTATGATTCCATCCTAATCCAAATCTAATGCTAACTTAATAGTTTGCTGCATAATAGGTTACATACTAAAGGCTGAGATTAATATAAGGACTAAACACTCCCAATGATCTCCTTGCCATAAACAATTAAGTCGGAGTTACGTTAGAGTGTAAACAGAAGCATAAATCGGGTTTAAATTAACATTGTCTGGTTTTGGCATATCTCTCCTAACCTCGACTTAACCCAAAATTAATTATTCACGGTGAAGAAATCATAGATAGGATTTGCACCAAACGTTAAGGTTAAGATTAAGAAAGCATAAACATTCTCCACAAGTTCCTTACGACGAACATTTAAGTCATCGTTAGGTTAGAATCGAGCTGATAGCACAAGTCGAACCCTAACATAACGGTCCACTGTATAATAGATCGCATGTTAAAGAATACAATTAACGATAGGATAAGGATATTCAAACACTCCCTATGAATACCTTACCATGAACAATTAAAAGCCTAAATGAGTTATTCTCCACGAAGAATTCATATTTACCATTTGCGCCAATGGTTATAGAGTTAACCTAAGAAAAGCATAAACACTCCCCATTAATTCCTTCTAATCAACATTTAAGTCAGAGTTAGGTTAAGATTAAGCCGCAAGTACAAGTCCAACATAACCCTGACGTAACAGTGCGTCGTATAATGAGTCACATGCTAAAGGTTAATGTTAAGGAAGGCATAAACACTGCCTGCAAACTCTTTACCGTGAACAATTAACAGCCTAAATGCATTATTCTCAACGAAAAATACATAAACGCTTCCTACGAATTCTTTCTAATCAACGTTTAAGTCAGGGTTAGGTTAGGATTACACTGGAAGCCCAATATACCCCTAACACAACAGCGCACCGTATAATGGGTCACATGCTAAAGGTTAGGGTTAAAGAAAGCATAAATGCAGCCTGTGAATTCCTTACCGTGAACAATTAAAAGCCTCCATAAATTATTCCCACCGCAGAATTCACAGGGAACATTTGCACCAAAGGTTAGAATTAACCTAAGAAAAGCATAAACGCTCCCCAGGAATTCCTTCTGATCAACATTTAAGTCAGGGTTAGGTTAGGATTAGGCCGGAAACCCAAGCCCAACATAACCCTAACACAACAGTGCACCGTATAATGGGTCACATGCTAAAGGTTAGGGTTAAGTTAAGCATAAACGCCGCCTGGGAGTTCCTTCCACCGCCCTATTAAGTCAGGGTTAGGTTAAGGTTAAGCCAGGCTTAGAAGGATCGCAAAGAGCAAAAAGGACCGTAGACATGGAATAAAGCTTAGGAGTAGCGGAGGTTACCCACTCTGTATGTGGCAGAGTCCGACGGAGAACTGGCAGAGCTCCGGGATCTGCCTGAGGATCTCCTCGCTGACGAGGTGAACACCGCGGTGCTGAGGCCTCAGGTTGATCTTCCTCTGGAACCAGGCCGAGCCGATTTGGATGCCCCTGTTGGAGGAGGCCATGATACCGCGAGGACACCCCGGGCGACGGACGAGCACAGCTGATCGGCGCGGCGCCGGGAGAGTCCCGAGGGGCGAGCGGCGGCGAGTCGGGAGGAAAAGAGCCGAAGAGAGGCGGAAACGGGCGGAAACAGCCGGAGAAACGGGTGAAGGGGCTCGCGGTCCGAGAGCGCTGGAGAGCGCCGAGCAGCGCCGAGAGTCACGAGAGCGCGGACAGCTCCATCGGGCGGGACACCTTGGCGCCCGTTACCGCGGGTCCTCGGCTACGAGAAGGACCTTCCCCGCGACATCTTTCCCTCCGCTCCGGCCGCCCCGAGAACGCGCAACCGATCGCCCGATTACGCTGCCAAGCCTCGCGGGAGCGCGCGGAAAGGTTAGGAGGGATAACGATTGACTCGACGTGCACCACTCCTCCGAGCTCTTGAGCACTCACACCCGCGCGCTCCGCCAGACTATGCCCAAAGCGCGCAGGCGCGCCGCCAGCGTCGAAAAACCATGCGCGTCGCTCATTGGTCCGCGGCCTGGCCAATGGGAAGGCCGGGATCTTGACCGAACCCCCCCGATTGGCCCGCTTCGGATCTAACGGAATGACACGCCGATATCTATGATTACGTCCTAGCGTATTCCCAAATCCGGATTTTATCGGACCTGGATCGAGTAAATTGCACGTCTACATTGTATTAATAAATACGCAGTTCGATCCCGAGCGACGTCTCGATCGACCCTTAAATTCGGATTTACTGGGTTTAGACCCGATAAATCCCCGATTTCGAGTGCGATGGAGACGTAGTCTGTCAGACTGGGTTCCATGACTCTTGTTAATCGATGTTTAACTTGTTTACACCCGATTTAAGCTTGGTCTACATAATTAAAATCCGGTTAAAGCTCGGTTCCATAACTCGAGTTAACCGAAGTTTCATTGGTTTATATATGGTTTAAAACTAACGATAAACCAATTAATACGGCAGAACATAAGTAGTTAAATAACCGACATAAAGTAGCATGTGTAAGAAAACTTAATAAGGTTCAATTAGATTAGTTACTTTTTGATTTTCATTTTATAATTTTAACTTCGTGTAAGTGACTAAAACTCCTGTTTTCAGAAATATTAGGTTAAAAGATAAGTTCCCGCCGTATGTAACGTAACGTGAAGTAATTAAACCGGCAGGAACTTATTCCCAACTTAATATATGGATTGAAAAGCGAGTTTAACCGCGAACGCTCTTCTACAGGGAATCAAGCAATTTCAAATATGACGCGCTTTATGACGGCGGCCAGCGTCATCTGTCGACAGTCCGCCTAAGCCTATAGAAAGACACGTTCTATCGGTATAACAGTGATCGCGCTATCGCGATAATTTCAGGATCGTAATGTAATACTTCGATCCCCGACCCTGCGGCAAGCAAAGGTGCCGTTCTGAATATTCATTACATTCAAGTAACATGTAACGGCGAGTCGTTATATGTGCCCAAGTGGGAAGAGAGAGGGAGAGCGCTCAATTTCATTGGGATTTGTGCAGTGTCGAGTAAGTACCGGGTACGATATTATCTGGCGGCGATTGAAATCACGATATTACGGCTGAGACGATTCGTTTCGAAAGACTTTCCACGATACGGCGTAAAGCGGTCGAAAGTTCGGCCTCGTTGGATTCGAATTTCTTCGAGAGCCGCACGTACACAATTCTGACTCTAATTTCTCTGCTCTGGTTAACTCGACAGGACGACAGGACCTGGCCTACGAGTTTCTTTTTCCCTGGCGTCGACGAAGACGTCGACGATTGACGACGGTTTCTTGGGAACATGGACACCGATGTGGAGTCTTGCTTGAAAGACTGGAACGATCTAGCAAATGAGTACAAGGAGCTCGAGGTGAATATTTCAGGAGTTCTATGCGTGTCGAAGAACCTACGGAGCACGTCTTCGGTACTCTACGAACCCTCGAAGACTCTATTGTTTTAAGAATTTTTCCCAACGAGGGGTTCTAACCTTAGTTCGACTGCTGACTTTCCTTTGGACCTTGTTCCTTGGTTGATATCTAACGCTACTCATACACTCGTAGAAGTCATAGATATCGGTGGCTTTAATCTGATGGTTCCGTTCCTTCTATTGGAAATTAATTGACAGTCATAGAGTCGCTGATATGTATATTGTAGATATGAGAAGCGGTGGATCTCGTGAAGTGATTCGATCTTGGCTTTGACATTGGGAGCATTAGAAGATGCACTTTACTTTCGTTTCCTATTTTTCTTCAATTGCTTTTGAACTTCTTTGGTTGTACTATATAGAGTCATATTCATAATATGTGTGAATAAGCGTTATATTTAACATAATGTAAAAGTGTTTTATATTTCATGTATGAGGGTTTTTCTTTATGATTTACAGAACAGGTAAATGTGTACTTTGTGGCTAATTGTGCAAAAATAATGTAAATGCGACACATTATACAAGTACGTAGAGGAAAATAATCTTTCTAATTTTTCAATGTTTTTGTTTTAACTTAAGCGTCATATATTGAACTAAAATATATGCAGAAATGTTCAATAGTTGTAAAGCTACTAATGTACAATTTTTGTCGTCATTTTTATTCAATATTTTCTCTTAATCGTTTGTAAAATATAATGAAAAATAATTGAAATTTCATGGGTGTCAGGACCTTTGTTAGGGTTTCGATCTTCACATGTTTACTTCAAATGGTTTGGTATACCTAATTAGGTGAAAAGTTTTATAAACGAGACCCCTAAGGCATCACTTTTATATCTCTTTAATGCTAGAATTGCGAGAGCTTTAAGGTGTTATTTTCCACAGGCATTGAATAGAGAATATATAGCAAAGTTAGAAGAAGTTGGACAGTTGCAGGCAAAATGTCTAGATGGTATCTCGCATCAAAAGTATCGAATGTGTGTGATATCCAAATCCTTGAAACAGTAAGTGCTCAAACTTCTATATCTTCCTTACAATAAGATATCAGATAATAACTCTTTCTTATATAAAGGCTGCACGCGAGCGAAACAAGGCAGAAGTTGGATAAAGAGATGACCCGACGAGAGCAACAACTTCATGAGATCGAACAGACTCTACCGAAGCCTAACGGGAGATATCTGAAGATTATTCTAGGAAATGTAAATGTCTCGATACTGAATAAGAATGACAAGTAAGTCCGGTAATGTCCCTAAGCCACGGACTTGGAACCACTTCTTGGCAGATTATTCTACACATTCCTTTCCCAGGTTTAAATACAAGGATGAGTACGAGAAGTTCAAACTCGTGCTGTCCATAATTGGTTTCGTGCTGTCCGTGGTGAATTTATTCACGAATATACGGTGAGAATAAACTTTAATAGTGCACTAAAGACCTACGTGTCCATAATTATAAAACTGGTCTAAGTAAATAATCTGAACACAAATGACGATCCCATACTTTGCGTTGCATACATTTAAAATGATAACAATGTGAACTTGCTTTTTTAACAAAGAAAAAATGACTTAGATCTCTTTCAGAATTAAGGACACATTAAACATTTAAGTTAGCGTTAGGAAAGAATATTCGAAGCATATATTTGGAAAGTTAATCACTATTTCCCATGTAATGTATAATTTCATTACATTGCAGGACACTCGAGCTGAGCTTCATGTTCCTTCTGGTGTGGTATTATTGCACTTTGACAATAAGGGAGAGCATACTCAAAGTGAATGGCTCGAAAATCAAAGGCTGGTGGCGGTTCCACCATTTCCTGTCAACCGTTGTGTCCGGAGTCTTGTTGGTGTGGCCAAACACAAGTCCTTGGTATGCCTTCCGAGGCCAGTTCATGTGGTTCAACGTGTACATAAGTAAGTCTTGTACTCCATAAAGGCTGTCATACATCACATAAAGTAACCACAAGCATAGACACAAGGGTTAAACATAACCTCAGTACGCAGACAAGATAACAGCAGTCTTTAAGGTGATACGAAAGGGTCATTCTATATATATAAAAAACGTAAAAAAATATTTATAAAACTTTTCTCCAAACTGGGTGCACCGAATTATTATAAACTTCATTACGTAATTATGAAGGCCCTAAGGAATTCTTCCTTAGTGCTCGTGAAATTTCATTGTGTCCAAGGTGGAGGAAAGTTTTCTAATTATCTCCACGTTTTTTTATAAATATTGTATGACTCTTTCATTTAACCTCAAGCCACTATTTTTATGCAAACTCTTGATCGCAGGTTTCGTCCAGTATCTCCAATTCCGATATCAACGTGGCGTGTTGTATCGTCTGAAGGCGTTGGGCGAGCGCCACAACATGGACATCACCATCGAAGGGTTCCACTCGTGGATGTGGCGCGGATTGTCGTTCCTCTTGCCGTTCCTCTTCGTGGGATACTTCTTCCAGCTGTACAACGCCTTCAAGTTGTACCAATTGACTGCCCATCCGGAGGCCACGTGGCACGTCCCAGTCCTCAGCGCGATGTTCTTCGTCCTCTTCCTGGGGAACATCACGACGACCATCATGGTCATCCCCCAGAAGTTGCAGCAGAGGGTCAGGGATCGCCTTCCTGGCGTATTCTCATGCATGTCGGATCGCCGGAAAGAGCTCCCCAAGACGGAGGACGCCGCTAAAAACGAATAAACAGCGAAACTCGCTGGGCGAGCTTTCGTTTAACCCGTTTAGCCAAAATATATTTGCCAAGCGACCGCGTAATTCTAAGTTCGGGTACGACAAACGAAGTTGAGGGTTTAGTTTCACCTGTAGACGGCGATCGGCAAGGTGTTGGGCTTCGTGCGGGAATACGAACTATTTAAAAGCTCCTTGGGCTTATGTTAGAAGAGAGTTGGGACGCCGTGTAGCTGCTCGAAGAGTTACCGACATTCGACCGTCTAAATGGAAGCGTTGAGGTGACACGAAAGAGTCATTCTGTATATACATAAAACGTCAAAATGTTTGTAAAACCTTTCTCCAAACTGGTGGCAAACTTCAGCACGTGATCATGAAGGCCCTAAGGAAGAACGCGATGCTCGTGGTATTTCATTTTTCACAAAAGATAAAATGTGATCTTGGTTCTAGTCTAGGCTAAATAGAGAAGATTTTTGTTGAAAAACGAAATTTCACAAGCATAGCGTTCTCTTCTAGGACCTTACTAATCGTGTGCCGGGGTTTCAAATGATTTGGCGAGTCCAGCTTTGAGAAAAGTTTAATAAATATTTAAATGTTTTGACATATAGAGCGACCCTTTCATATCACTTTAAGGGGATAGGAAAGTGGCGTCAAAGAGTTTATGGAACTTTTCTGCAAACTGGGTGTGCCGAATCGTTTCACACTGTCCGACGTGAACGTGGAGGCTACATGGAAGGTCCTGAGACTCAAGAAAATTCATTTTTTTAATAAAAAATTTTAAAAGTATCTATAAACTATTAAAAAAAAATTATATTCGATTCGGTATCCCTTGTTCCGAAGAAAGTTTCATAAAAGAGACCTCTTTGGTGCCAGTTTCACTTCACCTTAAGGGGGAAGAACGTAGAAGAAATACTCCCAACTGAATCGACCTTACATCGTGCACGCACATTTTTGTTATTCACCGATGGAGCTTCGACTGCAATTTCAAAAACGAGTATGTAATATGGGGTGAATCGTACACTCTGTGAACTCTGAACTCTCTGAAGTTTTGTTAAGGGGATGTGAAAGTGACATCCGGAAGGTCAATTGCGCATGAAACTTGTCTAAGAACTGGGTGTACCGAATCGTTTCATTCTTTACAACGTGGATGTGGAGGCCCTAATGCAGGACCTGAAACTTATGAAATTTCATCTCTTCCCAAAAATGCTGAAAACATCTGTAAACAAATTTTTAAAAAATTGAAATTTTATGGGTGTCAGAAGCTTTATAGCACACTGTCAAGTTCGAAACGATACGGTACACTCAATTTGCAGAAAAGTTTCATAAACGAGACCTCTTTGACGCCACTTTCGCATCACCTTAACCCCGCGAGGAAAAGAGGAAACTGACAAGAAACATGGGGTGGAAAAGAAGGGCGATCGGCGTTCTACTTATCTACAAACCCCACGGCTCTACACATCAAAATAGACATCCATACGCATACGTGCGGACTCTTTGGTTCACGTGTATCTGTTAAAACGCCCGTGTAAATAAACGAGATTACAATCTATACAATACCCTGAGCTCTTATATTTCGATCAATATACAATTATCGAAGACTCTGATATGAGAAACGAAAGGGTCAGGACAATTTTACGACAATTTAGAACACTCTGGTAATCGATAAACTTGCATTTTAACGTGCATTTTAACTATGATATGAGAAACGAAAACGATGGAAATACGAGGTCTCGGAGTGACAATTTAATTGACCTGGAAATCACAGATGGCGCAAGGTGTCCCTCTGCAGCCAATTAGGGCCCCAGAAAGCACGAATCCAGAGGATTTCTGGAGTTTTACTTCGATTTCTTTATAATTATTGTACGAAAACGACAGGTGGAGTATGCCATTTGGTACAATACCCAATATAATTCGACACAGCTGTCAATATAAACACGCACGTCGGCAACGTAGGTATTTAGAAAAACCTTCTTTTTCGACGTCGATAAAGTTCCTCGACGTGTTTCACTTAACCTTAAAGGGTTAACGCTGCCCCATGGCAACCGTCGAGGTGTGGAGCGTAACTTGTCTCTCTCTTTCTCTCTCTTCTCCGTTGTTGGCTCGGTCAGCGACGTTGCTAGGCGTCCCTTCAGCAATGGCAGTGAACTGCGGTTGCACCAACACTCGGATGGCCGGCTTCCCCCTCCAGGATCTACACGTGGATCTATAGTCACGCGGTGCATGAGTACATAGGTCACGGCGGAGCTCCGACGTCAGTGCTTAGCGCGAGCGATAACGCGGAGTCGGTTGGAAAAAGAGAGACGTCTTACCGGAAGGAATAGTCGGCAAAAAGGTGGAAATGGGGGACAGACTTCCGTTGGCCGCGGCGGCGGCCACGGTATTTCCCAACCTGGGCGGATGGGCGGGTGCCTACATCACCAGGAAGAACCTGAACCCCTGGTACCAGGTGAGGTAATCGGGCGGAGTCCTCGACGTTGAAGATGGTCGAACGTTGCATCTAGCATATACTAGCCCGTCCTATCTGCGCCTACCAGGGGCCCGATTATCGAGTTCATACGGATTTTCTCGCACACGAATAGATTCGCATGAAAAATTTCCCATATGAATAGATTCGCATGAAAAATTTCGCGTACGAGTAGATTCGCATGAAAAATTTCGCGTACGAGTAGATTCGCATGAAAAATGTCGCATATGAATAGATTCGCATGAAAAATTTCGCATATGAATAGATTCGCATGAAAAATTTCGCGTACGAGTAGATTCACATGAAAAATTTCGCATGAAAAATGTCGCATACGAATAGATTCGCATGAAATAGTCGCATACGAATAAATTCGCATGAAAAATTTCGCATATGAATAAATTCACATGAAAAATGTCGCATACAAGTAGATTCACATGAAAAACTTCGCATGAAAAATGTCGCATACGATTAGATTCACATGAAAAATTTCGCATACGAATAGATTCGCATGAAATAGTCGCATACGAATAGATTCGCATGAAAAATGTCGCATATGAATAAATTCGCATGAAAAATGTCGCATACGAGTAGATTCACATGAAAAATGTCGCATGAAAAATGTCGCATACGAATAGATTCACATGAAAAATTTCGCATACGAATATGCGATATTGAGAACTCTTCGAATTCAGTTCGTGGGAATTACTCGTAGGTAATCGTATGTGACTACGAAGCAACGTCGCCTCTTGCTGTGAAATGCCCGAACCAATGAAATGGTCGCTTTAGCAATGGTTCATTTTTTCTCCTGTCATTCCCTATACGGTTATATTGATCTTCAACCCCTTCGTAAAAAGCGATGGTTTTATGTTATTTTCGTATACGAATTGTCTCTTTCGCATGGTATGACCTGGTTGGTGAATGTATTCTCCGAATTGGGTGAACCGATTCGTTTCAAATCTTACCACGTGAATATGGAGGCCCTAATATAGGTCCTGAAACTCATGAAATTTCATTTTTCATAAAAAAAATGTATTAATCTAGCATGGACTATAACCAACACGGCAAAAATTGATTAATCTAGCATAGTCAATGCACGTTTTCGCTGTTTTACGCATCTTGGAGGCTTGAAATCGAAAATGAAGAGTTTCAGGACTTAGCTCGAACAATTTAGAATACCGTAGAAATGGAATATTTACACAGTCAGATGGGAAAACATGGAAAATACTTCCAACGATCGCAAGATCCCGGCTTGTCCAGTGTCTAACGCGGTTTTTGGGCAAAAATTTAGTTGCAGCTAAACGTCACAGATGGCGACGGTCCCAAACAGTCGTTAGAATAATGAAATCTCGGGATTTCGACGATTTTACGTCGATCTCTTCATCATTACTTCGTTGAAATGTCATATAAAACGCTTCAGTTCGTATAATTTTCAGCCTAGACTGTAAAGGACTTCGGCATAAATATAAATGTCGGTAACGTGGCGCGCCAGCTTACGTTACCACTTGAGTATTCAATATGGCGTTCCTACCATAGGGAGTATAGATGAATTTTATTTTATCGACGTCTCTTATTCTCTATTTTGTCCTTAGTACCCTGCTTTTTGAACTACGTAAATATTGCTTTTCGTTTGATTTTTATGAGCCTTCTTCCAAATCCCAGTAAAATCCTAAAATTCAGCCGGTTATCTTCGCATAAGTACCTCTTTTTCGCCCGGCACTAAAATGGTTAATATCGCCATAATCGACGTCGATTAAATTTCTGAGCGCCTTTCATATCCCCATGATTCGAGATTACCGGACTATGATTTCAGGGCCTGAAGAAGCCCTCCTGGACGCCGCCCAACTGGACATTCGGTCCGGTGTGGACGGGCCTTTACTGCACCATGGGTTATTCGTCCTATTTAGTGTGGAGAGACGCAGGAGGCCTCGAGGAGGCCGCATTGCCATTATCAGTATACGGAGTTAACGTGGCGCTAAACTGGGCATGGACTCCGCTCTTCTTCGGGGCACACAACGTGAAATGGGTACCGCTCTGTGGGCAAGATCTCATGAAAATGAATGAAATTTAAAACCTGAATGCCCTGGCTATTGTTATACGTTAAGGCGATGTGAAAGTGGCGTCGAAGAGTCCTCGTTTATGTAACTTTTCCCCAACCTGGGTGGACCGAATCGTTTCAAACGTTACAACGTGAATATGGAGGCTATATGGAAGGTCCTGACTGGCAAGATTTTGAAAATGCATACAAACGAATTAAAAAAAAAAAACGAAATTTCATGGGTGTCAAGACCTTTCCTCTAGTCTCTATATTAACATTGAACTGTTTGAAACGATTCGGTACACCCAGTTCGGAGAAAAGTTTCATAAACGACACATCATTCGTTTCATGAACGAGACATCTTACATTACTTCGCCTTAACGTTGATTGTATGTACTTACTTCGCAGGCCCTGTACGAGATCCTCGCCCTGTGGGGCTCGACCGCAGCTCTGGGAATAGTGTTCTACAGAGTTAACTCCGTCGCCGGTTACCTGATGATCCCGTACCTGGCATGGAACACGCTTGCCGTGGCCTTGAACTACGTTATCTATCGAGATAATCGGTTGGAGTCAAAGGAAAGCGAAGGGAAAAATGAGTGAGCTCTCCTCCAAGGACTCCAAGTACTTACGTAAAAGCGACCAAGGATCAAAGGGTAACACTCTTCGGAAAGTACCAGGTACCGTCTCGACGTTTATCTCGTAGGTAACTCCGCAGCGAGTCCATCCCTCGACATCTCGAATCTGCTATTCTCCTCTTCCACGTGAAACTTAAAACCGCTTCTGCCTGAATATTGTCACTCATACACCGCTCACACGGATAGTTATATTTAGCTTATCATTTTAACACATTCGCGAGCGGCAAATTTTTTCCGTTTCAAATACTGAGATACCGGGGGAAATAATGAAATTCTGAAACTGTTTGCCGCGAACTTGTATCGTGTATCGTCACGGACGTGATTAACGTCAGCGGCAATCAGGAATAGAATTAAAAATGACGTGAATTCACGTCAGCGGCAACCAGGAAAGTTGAAAAGACGTGAATTCACGTCAGCGGCAACCAGGAATAGAACTTGAAAAGACGTGAATTCACGTCAGCGGCAACCAGGAATAGAACTTGGAAAGACGTGAATTCACGTCAGTGGTCGCGAATGCGTTAAGAGAAAAGCGTTATGAACGATCGACCTCTCTCAGTTGCCACTTTCACATCCCCTTAATACGTTTTTTCTCTGTTCTTAGCCGCCGTACGAAGGAGTGACGCCAGCTTTCGAAATTTCCAACCCGTGCTAACGAGTGGCCTTAGGGAAACTGACCGACATGTGCGCAAGATATTCCGTTAGTATACACGTGTTTATTTAATCGATACGAAATAAAAGTTAGTTAATCGACCATGATTACGTTACAACATACCTATAATCAAAGGTCAGGAATCATAGTAAATCGACAAAACAACCGAACAGGTTAACGTTAGCCGTCTCGCTGTCTTACCCTTCTCGTTCTGTTGATATCTTATACATGTCTATAAGATAAAATTACCGAATGCAACGTGGATTCGAGTAGGAGGCTGCATTCTGGATCTATATTGCATGTACGCTACGTGGGGTCCGTCGCGTAAATATATCCTTGTTGTTGCAAAACGTACAAACGCTTCTCGACTGCGTCCTTATCTGAAAAATCGAGGGAACCAAAGTTAGAGCTTCAAATACAACCATCAACGTGGACGTCCCGAAACAATGGAGATTAGTAGATAGACTTAAGATGATATGAAAGGCGCTGAGAAATTTCATCGAGGTCGATAACTTAACATTCATCTGTGCCCTCCTTGGTGGTAACGTCATTTTCAATACTCAAGTGGAAACATAAGCATTTCTCTTTCATATCGCCTTAAGGGATTAGCCTGCTGTATTTAAAAATATGTAGATGAAAAGAAAAAAAAGTTTTAAAAAAAATGCTACACCAGAAACGGACAGTCCGATGTAATAAGCTGGCATGGCAGATTAACGGTAAGATAAATATACAAAATTGAAATTATATAATTATTATCAAATTAAAACGTCAATAAAACTTTTTTTCATATTTCCCACGTTAATCTGTAATGTTCGATCACAATATAGCGTACTAATTGGCTACTCCTAGATCATGAGAGTATTCGTCTTCGAGTCTAATCTTTCAAAAAGCGTAAACTATAAGTACGTGTCCTTGGTTCCAGATAGATAGAAAATGTTTTGTTTAAAAAATCAAATTTCACAAGCATCGCGTTCCTCCTCGGGGCCTCCGTCATCACGTGCTAATGTTTCAAATGATTCGGTGTGCCCGTTCCGGAAGAAGGTTTGTTAAATATTTTTTCACACTTCAGAGGCCACTTTCACTTCACCTTAAATCGTCACGTCATTTCGTAGAGTATCAGCTACATAGTTAACCCTAGAACTACCAAGCCCAGTAAAAATGACTGGTTTTAAATGGCCCACCGTAGTTAAAAAAAAAAAAAATCCACCAATGGTTCTAGTGTTAAGGTGATGCGAAAGTGGCATCAAAGAGGCCTCGTTTATAAAACTTTTCTTGGAAATAGCGATACCGAATCGAATTTAATTTGTTTTAAATTGTTTATAAATACCTAAAAAAATTTTTATATAAAAAAAAGAGAGAATTCATGAGTGTCAGTACCATCGTTATAGCCTCCATGTTCACACGTCGGACAGTGTGAAACGATTCTATACAATATCTATGTATACGTCTTACATTCTGAACATCATCTATACATACACCAAGTTCGTAGAAAAGTTTCATAAACGATTCGCACTTTGGATGCCACTTTTACATCCCCTAGATACAGATATATCGGTATTTCGGGGACGTAACAAGGCATGCCAAGACGCAATTTCTCCGCAAAAAAAAAAAAAAAGAGTAGGCGAATACTAATTATTTACATTTGATCAGAAGCGCCCTGTCCTGACTGTGATTAACGTGTTGCGATAACGAGTGCAGGAGGATCTGCGCCGTTCGATATCGCTGGAAACACTCCGCGGGATTGCCGAAGAGCTCGTCAAGCGCTGCCGATTGACACTGCAATGAGAAACAATAAACAGTAAGAATTATCAGGAAGTACTCTACCGGAAAATCCAGGTAGAACGAAAGAGAGATAATGCTAACCATTTGTATAGCATGATTATAAAGGATCTTATCCGCCGTCGAGCCGGTCTGTCTCAGAAGACCGGCGCTGTTGAGCTGCTTGCATTCCGTGAGGCACGACCTGAATTTGTCATTCATCGTACTGACCACTGGGAAAAAGGATTAACGAGATTAGACCTCTTCGAGCTACATACAATGGGGGACATCAATGCCTGCCCTGCAGCAAAGAATTCAGAATCCCGTAGAAGCCCAGATCCTATGTTAGCGCTTGATGCTCTAAAACTTGACTAACAAACCAGAAGTGGGGATAAAAAAGAGATTGCACGTATTAGCCAACGATATCTCACGTACGGGAGGAAGAGAGACGCATGTAGAAAGGCGAGTATTGGGTGTAAGATAAAGAAAGAATGCAATCGCTATATATCGCCATAAGATTAAGAGAGATAGAGAGATGATTACAGCGCCGCCATCCGTTGGCTAACGTACTATTTATCGAGCATCGAACATCCGTATCCTTCTGGGCTTCTATGGAGACCTCTGAATTCTTTGCCTGCAGATACGGCATCGCCTGTGCAGGATGGGAGGGCATTGATGTCTCCCAGTGTACTATTGGGTCGGCAACTAAGTATTGCGGATTTTTTAATGCCATCTATCGACAAAATCCGTAATAATTTAGTTGCCATCCCAACAGAAATCGGCGCGTGGTCGCCGCGCACGTTGCAAATGAAACTTCTAAGTTAAAGAGAGTTAATAAACGTCATTAAGGTGATATGAAGGGGTCATTCTATGTATATAAAACGTAAAAATATTTATAAAACTTTTCTCTCAATTCGATTAACCGAATAGTTTGAAACTTTACAACGTGAATAGGAAGACTATAAGATAGGTCCTGAAACTCATGAATTTTCATTTATTTTCAAATTTGTTTATAGGTATTTTAAAAATAGTTTAGAAAAAATTAAATTTCGCGAGTTTCAGGTCCTACCTTAGGGTCTCCACATTCACGTTTTAAGGTATGAAACGATTTGGGACACCCAGTTTGTAGAAAAGTTTTATGAACAATTGAGCTTTCGGATGCCGCTTTCACGTCACCTTAACGCCCGAAGATGACTAGAAGTAGTAATTAGCGGTATAAAAATTAAAGTAAACCGTCTTCAACGAGTGTTTTACATATCGTTAGGGTCCGATTTCTCGACACGAAACTCGCCTTACCGCCACATAAGAAGTTTCACTCATAAAATGTACGGATTAAGACAGATCCTCATCTCTATGACGCGATAATGGGGAAAATAATAAGAGCTCGGCGGTAAAGGAGGCTCACCATCTTTAACGCTAGTGGTCGGCTGTAGTCTGCCAGCCTTTAACTGCTGAGTCGCCAGACTCAAACCCGAGCTGAGCCATTGCAAGGCCCTTACAAGAAGAATGACTTGTTCGGCCCTTCTCCTCGTCGCCGCGTTGCTGGCCTGTTCGATGCTTCCAAGAGGAGCACTAAGAGGCCCGGCCCGACTTCTGGCCACTTCGCAGACGCACTCGCAAAGCGCCACGACGAAGTTCAGCTTGGCCAGGATATCGTTGTGCTCCCGCTCGAGCAGCGTCTCTTCGGGCAGTTCGGGAGCGATGAACGTCCACGGGCGATCCTCCGTCAGCCCCAGGGTCGCCTCCGGGAAGAGGCTCTGGAAGCTGCCCGCCTCTGGAAAAGTTCCCCCACGATGTCAATCAACTTAAGGGGTCCTATGGCAGTTGTCATAGGCGAAATTCAACAATTCCACAGTCTGTTTTCGATTAAGAAATGCATTTTAGTTATGAAAAAGGATTTCTTGAATTTTGCCTATGACAATTGCATATAACTCCTTAACCGCAGCGATAACATTGTACCTATGTACACTAATGCTATAATTACGTCGTGTTTTCAACCCGCTCGCGTACTCGCATATTCGACGTTTGTCATACTTGAACGTTGAGTAGGTATCCTCATCTATAAATAAAACGAAGACGTAATTTTACGTTAAAAATAAAAATTCACGAGCGTCAGGGCCTTCCTTGGGGCCTCCGTGTTCACGTGGCAAGATTTCAAACAATTCGATACACCCACCTCGCAGAAATATTTCATAACCGAGACCCCTCGGATACAACTTTCATATAGCCTTAAGAGGATATGAAAGGCGCTAAGAAATTTAATCAACATCGATAAAGTAAAATTCATCTATACCCTTTTCGGTGGGAATGACGTTTTGAATGCTCAAGTGGTAACATAAGCTGGCGCGTCCCATTACCGACATTTATATTTATGCTGAAGTCTTTTACAGTCTACGTTGAGAATTATACAAACTGAAGGGTTCTATATGCCATTTCGATAAAGTAATGATAAAAAGATCGACCTAAAACTGCCGAAATCCCATGAATTCATGACCGTTTATATTTTGACGAACCAACGTCGCCATCTGTGACGTTTAGCTGCAACTAAATTTTTGCCATAAGAACATGTGTTACTCGCAGGACAAGCCAGCATTCTCTTGCAATCTTTGGTGAAAGTATTCGCCACATTTTCCCATCTGACTTTGTAATATTCCATTTCTACGGGATTCTAAATTGTTCGAGCTAGGTTCTGAAAGTCTTCATTTTCAATTCTAAGCCTCCAAGAAGCGTAAAACAGCGAAAACGTGCACTGACTATGCTAGATTAATCAATTTTTTTTATGAAAAATAAAATTTCATGAGTTTCAGGACCTATATTAGGGCCACCACATTCCCGTGGTGGAATTTGAAACTAATCAGTACCCTCAATTCGGGTAATACTTTCCCAAACGATTTGACTTCTCAGATGTATATAGACTGATTCTTTCATATCCTCTTAACAGATTTTGAGCACTTATTAAAATATTCTAATGCTTACTACTACCTACTATCTTGTTTACCTGAGATCTCCGGGAGTGTGACCGCTCGAGTGCCGAAAGGAATTACCGGCGAGTGTCGCAAAGTATTGTTGTTGTCCTGCAGAGCCCTCGTAGTGGGCGATCCTAAAACTGCCAGGGGACCAGTAAGCAACGGCGAAGATGCACTCGTCGTGCCGGTGGATCGCCTTAATGGTGAGGTTCCACTCGAGGTGTGAGAATGCCTTGCTACGGGGCTTACTTGCCAAGTATTCGGTGGTGGAGGTGTCTCGCTTAACCTTTTGGAACAACGAAGCACATGAAATGTCTGCCGATAAAGTTCAATTCGTCATCACTTTAAGGTGACGTGAAAGTGACGTCAAAGAGATCTAATTTATAAAACCTTTCTCCTATGTACAATGGGAACATGTGGGCTCTAAAAAAAAATCCTGACACCCATGAAATTTCAATTATTTTCAAATTTGTTTACAGGTATTCCTTAAATTTTGTAGAAATAAAATAAAATTGCACAGGTGTCAGAACCTTCCTTATAGCCTCCATATTTACGTTGTACAGTTTGAAACGATTCGGTACACCCGATTGTCCCCATGTCTCCATCTGTGATTTCCATGTCAACTAAATTTTCACTCCGAGACCTCATATTCCCATCGTTTCAACATAACAGCTCATAAGACACTTTTCTTGCCTTTATCCCGTTCAAATGCGAGTTTATCGATTACCAGAGTGTTCTAAATTCTCGTACAATTGTCTTGACACTTTCGTTTCTCATATTAGAGCCTTTAATAATTGTATATCGATCGAAAATGAGAGCTCGACGCCATTTGGTTAAAAACCAAATTTTGAAAGTGTCAGGACAATTCCTAGATGATCACGAGTCATGTGTCGAAGTTTTAGACGGTTCGGTTCAATACTCTTAAAAAAGAAAAAGTATCTTATTCGGATAGACTGATTCGCTTCACCTTAATCGGTTGCTTTGCTCACCTCCTACCAGGTGGGGTGCCTATAACGAACTGGACACTTGGTGGACTCAGGGAGCCGATGTCGGGAGCATGGCTCCTGTGAGAGTCGACGCTTCGCTTCATGCTGATGGGCTGAGAGCGCGGCACGTCGCTGCATCCCGACTTTGCATTAGCCGAAGGGGACGAAGGCTGAGCGACGCTCCGCTGCGTTGGCACCGGTATCGGTTCCGAGATTGGCAAGAAACAAGGTCGCGGAGGACTCGCAGCCTCGCGACTATACTGCTTGCTGTACCTGCGTCAAGTATAAACGGTCATCGCCTGATCACTGCTAACTAATGATGTGACGAGTCGAGTAATATAATAGATTAAGGCGATACGAAAGTGGCCTCAAAGAGATCTCGATTATGCTTCTTTTCTCCAAACCGGGTGTACCGAACCGTTTTAAAGTCTCCCTCGTGAATAAGGAAGCCCTAAGAAAGTTCCTTGTGCTCATGGAACTTCCCCCCTTAATCTCTTTTCATAAATAACTTTTAATTTATATTTATAAAAGCGGAATTCCACGTTTGCCAAGACCTTCCTTAGGGCCTCCATTTCCATGTGGTGAAATTTCAAACGATTCGATACACTCAGCTCGGAGAAAAGTTTCATATACGATTGGCCCCCTCGGATGTTGTTTTCACATCACCTTAAGGTGATCTGAAAGTGGCGTCAAAGAGACATCATAGACCATAGTCACCCATAGTATTGAAAGGGTTAACCCTTTGACTACAAAAGACGTATATATACTTTCAACATTAGATCCACTATTGCCTGTGCGTGAGTGTCAATTTTGCCCAAACGTCCAAATAACTTAGCAGTCAAAGAGTTAATCGAGTAATCGACTCCAGCCCAAACTCGAGTTGATGTTTTCAAATTCAAGCAGCCCGAGTCGATAAAATATTTGACACCTCAAATCACTATCGGTAACTTCATGTTTTGCACGGCCACTAGTCTGCGTCGACTCACTTCACTTGTTGCGCATTAGGATTGTTATCCGTATCACTGCTCAGGTCACTGGGAACGAGGACAAAGTCATCCTCGGGGCTCGAACAGGGACTGCTTATTTCGTGGCCCGACCTGGCAACTCCTGCAGCTCCTTCGGGTATTGCCAGAGCTCCGGGGGAAGCAGGTACCTCTGTGGGCACTGCGCTTGGATTCTCTTTGGGTCCCTGAAGGAAAGCGTGTCCAAAGAACTCGTCGAAAGGCATCCTGTCTCTTGCGTTGCGCCTTAAGAGACCCATCAGCAGGTCCGATAATTCTGGAGACGTGCCCGGGGGAATTCTGCAAGCAAATAAATAACATTTAACGCATTCAACATCACATCGGTCACCAGTGACGTGATATTTTTAAATACGCGTAACGCGCAATTACTTGCATATGCAAGATTGCCTTTTATTTATATACCATTAAGGTGATATGAAAGTGGCATCTGATACGTCAAGATCTCGTTTATGAAACTTTTCTTCAAACAAGGTGGATCAAATCGTTTGGAATTTTACTTCCTATGGAGGCATTAACGAATTTATTTATAATAATTGTAAACACAATTAACGCATTTATTTATAATTGTAAAAACAATTAAGAGGGCATTTTGCAACAAACCTTATTGAAACTTGACAAACAATAGGAGTTCCCAATAGGACAAAAGAGAATTCACATATGGAATTGCCTAGTAGGGCAAGATATGGAGAAGGATATGCAGAAAAAATATGTTATGTGTTATATCTTTTCGCAATTCAATATTATAATTTAATTTGGCATTGTTATCCTCTTTAACATAAAATAATCTAAATGGCATAAACAAAAAGTCTGTTGAAATAGGTTTGGCATTGAATATGTTAATTGCAAATATATGACACGTCAAGATTTGTCTTTTGTTAAGAGTACTTACTTAGGACCAAGATTAGCGTTCTTTTCGTAAAATAATTTGAGGGCCTGAGGGGTGTGAGCTTGGAAAGGAGCCTTGCCGGTCAGACATTGAAACACGATCGTTCCCAAAGACCAAAGATCGGCTTTTGCATCGTACTGCAATGACATGATAACTTCAGGGGCCATGTACATTGGGGAGCCACACATAGTAGCCGCCATCACGCCATCCTGCAGGAATCGGGCAAATCCAAAGTCCGCTGTAATGTAACAAATGTTCGGTGTAATCAATCAGAGTAACTGAAACATACAAACTACCTCCGATCTTTTACTTACCTATTTTCAGAGTAATCTGATGGGGTTGCGGACATGCTTTACCACAGGTGTGACTTAATAAAATATTCTGTGGCTTAAGGTCTCTGTGAACGACACCCTTGGCATGCAGCGCTTTCATTGCACCTGCCAACTGCTTAAGAAATACTCTGATCGTATCTTCGGACAAGGTCCCTTTTGCTGCATAATAAATCATAAATTAACGTTAACGAGTACTAGATGCTTCCTCGATAATGGAAAATAATAATTAAAAAGAACATACCACCCAAGTAATCAGCCAAATCCCCTCCGTTGCAATACTCCATAACCAGGAAGACATTAAGATTCGATTCCTGCAATACAGAAGTCAAGCAATCAATGAAATTTACCCCTAACTCACGAAAATGGTAATAATCAATGATTCCTTACTTTACAATCCAAAAGAGCAACGACATTCTCATGATGCAACTCTGTCAGCTCCTGCAAATGTAATTTATTTTACAAACACCGGCAAGAACAAAGAGAAACAATGCAATTCCATTCCAAGCCTCTTTGTTCAATGAGAAAAACAAGAGGAGTGAGCCCGAAGATGCGATATCTTTTGTTCTTTGTTCCCCAAGGAATTTAACCCGGTCTATTTCCAGCTCCCTCCTCGATACCCAGCAATTCCTCTTAGGCAAAGTCAAGTCGCTAACCTTCAAGATCTTGATCTCCTTGCCGAGCAAGTTCTGCGACTTGGCCAGACTCTTCTTGGTGATGCTTTTAATGGCAACGACAAAGTTTGCTTTCTGCGGAACATCAACAAAACGTAAAGAATGGTACAGGATGAATCGCAAGGCTTATCGTCGATAGAAACTCACTTTCCGATGCCTGCCCTTAAAGACGACGGCAAAGGCCCCATGCCCAATGAGGTCCTTCGTGTTGTACTCGTAGTCTCCCACAACCTCCATGTTCCCTTGTCAGGGAGTCTCAAGAGCTCTCCATGGGTGACAGCAGAAGTTTACAAACAGCAGCTCGAACGCAAGACGCGTCACCTGGAGAGAGAGAAAGAGATCAATACGGGGAGGGGACAGGGGCACGAGACAGGGCAAGGTGAGGTGCGGGAGACGTAACCAGTTTAGAGGTTAAGAGGTCCAGCTTGGAGTTCGCAAGGCAATCTTACCGTTGTGGTTGTAACTTACCGCGAGATAGGGCACGTTTTTTCGCATCCGACATGGTGTTACTCTCGGGACGCGCGAGCCTTGCCGAGGTCCAGCCACGGCGCCAACGCGAGCTTGCGATCCATTCTTGGACGCGCACAACAATGCACAACACTCGGCCGCGGGTCTTCTACTCCCGGACTCGCGCCGCCTCGAATTCCGCTCCCTGTTGGCACTTTTAAGCGAGCGCGTCGCAGCTCTTGCGTGTCCTAACGCGCCGATGGCCTCTCCGATCTCTGAAAAATGTCAAACGGCACTTCGGACCACTTCGGGCAACTCGGATAGGCGCACTCGTTAACTCGTGTATTTCCGTACACTTCCGTGACTGTGTTAAATGCGCGGTGCATCAGCTGTTTGCTACTTCGCGCTGATTGGCCGCGACGCGCACCGATCGGGTATCTTCGGAACTCATCGGCTCTCCCCGCGCCAACTACTGGACTGAGACCGCGGCGCGGTTTTCAAATCAAACTTCGGCGTGTTACACCTTCAGGGGACAATGGGACCTTATTGCATGAGCGTAAAACCGTGTATATATTTTTAACGTTGACATGGCTTTTTCGGTCGGTTATAGGTAAGTATGGGGGCTGCATTAGGGAATTGAATGTCAAGAAACTGTGTGAATGTTATGCAATAGTGTAAATCATGGGTCATGTTTCTTACGGCTGTGTAGGGGATACTCATTGAGGAATCAAATGTCACGGAAATGAGCAGTTTTTAAAAATGCAAACTCCTCTCTCGCCACTACGTACGAAGTATACATTGAAAAATTGAATGTCATGAAATCGTGCAATGTATCGGGAACCTGCAAATGTCATAACAATGGCCGAACATAACGGAACGTGTAATGTCACGAAAATGTGAAACGTGGCCACACGTCATAGTTTTCATATCGTCTTGTGTTCGCAGTATAAAAATGTCCACAGTCTTCTGTTTCGTAATTTGCCGCTAATAAATGATTGCTTACACAATCACGTTTCATTTTTGGCACTTTATTTCAGGAAAATAAACGGCGAAAGAAAGAATTTCGATTTTTGCTAATAAATTTTGTATAAAAATGTCTACAACAAACGCAGTTGCAAATACATTGCAAAATCAGTATACATGATGTAAAAAGATTGTGTGAAAGTTTGATATGAACAGAATGAAAATTGTAGTAACTATCAATGCTGCTGACATTAAAAATGTTATTTCGAGAGAAATGTATTTAAACGTTTCCCTTTTGATTTGGTTTATAAATAAAAGAATAATTTAAATTTATCTCTAGTGTAAACTCGCTAAACAATAAGGGTTTTCTATTCAAACCAATAGATATTCTTTTTAGAACTACAAACTATCACTTGAATTTATAAAAAAAAAAAGGAGACAATTTTTTTAAACTTCCATCGTAACATAATCCCTTAATGAAAAATTAACAACGTATATTTATTTCACATTGGATTACGCTTACTTTCCTAATTAGTCCTAATTAATTGGTGGATTGTATACAATCTTGAGATCTGTGATATGTCTCCGGGTTCGTTGCACATCCTGGACACGTGTGCAGGGACTCGTGAATGAAGATCTCGCACTCCATGCAGAACACTTGCTTGCATTTGTTGCAGATATACATCTAAAAGTACATGAGAATGTTTTGTACCCTTTTTTAATCAGGAATGTCAGACATTGATGTTACCTTCTTGTTGAGTTGCTCCGATTGCTTTTGACAGCCGTAGCATCGATGCAGTGGTACGCTGTCTACTACTTTCTGGAAGTGTTCGATCGGAAATAAATAATGGTATGATCGAGCTAAGTGAGGAGCAGACACCAAAGTAAGTCCACAGGCTCTGCATTCCACCGGTAACTCGCAATGCTTACTTAAGCACTGTGGACACAAGTATCCAGTCGACATAAGTTTCATCGACATTTCCGTGGTGCCTGCATGACTGAAATCAGATCCGTTACAATTATCCTTAATATCATCATTAAGGTGACATAATATATACATATAAACATCAAACTATTTATAAAATGTTTCTTCAAACTGGATGCACCGAATTATTTGAAATTGCAGCATATGATTGCAGAGGCCCTAAGGAAGAACGTAACGCTCATAAAATTTAATTTCTCAAGAAAATTTGTTTATTAATCCCAGACTAGAATTAAGGACACATACTTGTTATATGTTATACCTTTTGAAAGCTTAGAGTCGAGAACGAAGACTCTCAGGATTTATGTGCAACAATTTAGAACACTATAGAAATTTTACAATACAGATTCGTGTAGGAAATACCAAGAAAAGTGTTATAAATATCTGTAGTGCACTTTTAATTGACCTTAAAGTGGAGGTTTATTGTTTCGCTTTACCATGAGATTAAGATAGAAGAAGAGATGATTACAGCACCATCATATGTTGGCTAACATACTATTTATCGAGTATGAAACATCCGTACCCTTCTTGGTGTCTACGGAAACTTCTCAATTTTTCAGCTATAGGACAGCCATATAGAATTTTGTGACTATTGGAACATCTTGATATTAAACTCACCACATGCACAAACTCATTGAGGAATCCGTGGCGGATAAGTGCAAAGCATGGTGTGGGAATCCCATTCTAATCAGGGCTGCATCTAATCTGGTGGCTGCGGGTGGTGGATCGATGTGGGTACTTAATTGATCTTTGTAATGTTTGTCATCGAGAACTACACTGTAATCTCCACCTGTTATTGATGCCATGCGCTTGCACACATACAATTCAGCTGTTAGTCCTATTACGCTACATCTTATACTTTCAGTCTTTAAACTCTGAAATCAATGTTTAATTTTAATCCTTTACAATCTACTTTTTCATTTAAAATAATGAAAAGACGGACAGTTCTTGAATACTATGTCTCTACTTAAATGTGTTTCATTTCTTTCCTGTACCTGTTTGAAAAATGGGTAATTTTACTACCGTCAATAGGTAAGAGCCCTTTTAAGTTTTACCAGAAAAATCAGATAAGATTTAAAAAATATCCATATAAGGGTATATGAATTCAAGGTCATTATAGAGTATAAGCAATTATTTATGGTCATAGTAACTTCACTGTTAACAAATTACCTCTATAGTTGCGTTAATGTCTCCTGGGTCGCACGTCGTGAGAGAGCCCATTATTATCAGGACTTCTCGGCTAGCATGAGGAGGCAATAACTTTAATGATTTTAAAGCTAATTCTATAGAATTTTGCAACGATGGCTCACCCGTTAGTGACAATTTATCCAGAGCTTTCATTTCCTGCAATACATAAAAATAGAGAATTGTAGTAAACTATAGCATATGACAGTATTACCAGACATATGAAATAAATTTCCCCTAAATTGATTTTTATTTCTAACCATATGCAAAAAATACCTAGACTTTTTTTACACTTTTTTATGTAATGAATATAAATTCTTAAATATTATGTGTAGCTTAACGTTAAGTGATACTAAGTGTCATTTTCTTTTTTTACATAATATAAATAGGTTTTTAAATATTATATGTGGTTGGGATTGAATAGAATTGTCATATCCACCCACTAATCACTCCAAATTTATCTGCTCCATCGGAAAAATCTTCTCTCTCATTCCGCCAAGAATTAATCCTCAGATATTTAATTCCCCAGATTAGACTACGACTAAGTCCACTCAGATTGAAGTATAAAATCCCCAATCTAACAACACTGATACATGGATGCTTTACCCTATATCATTCAATTTTATTCTGCGGATTTGTAACTTGTGACGGACTACTTTCTGATTAATATAATTACACATACATACCTGAATGTGCTTTTTAGGATTTCCTGACAACTCCGAAAGTTTTTCCGCTCTCTTATTTCTCGTTGTAATTATTCCCATTTGGCTTATTGGATTTTGGTAAAAGAATTCTTCAATAAAATTTTCCAGAAGCTGAACATAAATGAATGAAAAATAGTAAACAAGTCTAATATTAAATCACATTGCATTACTAAGATCTCAAGGAATATAAGTCGTGGAAATAATACTTTTAGAGAACAAAGTAACCGAGTTGGTTTCAAGTCTTGGTTCATCATTGATTCCGAGCAGTCAAGAATGACGTATAAGTGTCTCATCATTCCCAATCTCGCTCCAACATTCTTATCCAGCTGAAGCCTCTTCCTGATGGTACGAGTGTACTCTTCTATCGATTCATTCAAGAAACCGTTGTCGTCTTCCTTGATCGCCTCCCTATAGGGTTAAACAATAATTAGTTTCGATAACTTTAACAGTCACATAACGACAAATTCATCACTACTGTATACAGATTCCAGGTAAATTTATACAGTAAATGTAATGCAAAGAAATGTTATATACTTATATCAAATTTTTCAAAGGTAATGTAAACTCATACCATGTTTTCTCGTAGCCGGTTTCCCACCGGTACTCCTTTTTATCGTCCTCATCAGCCATGTTATGATCTTTTAATCCACTATCTGAGAATTAATTTCCTTTGTTTCGCTTTATTCATACCCCTGACACTTCGTCGGCCTCACATAAACTGACGGAAGTAAACATCAAGAAACTTCGTGAACTACAAACTCCGCTACTGAAAAAAAAACAAAATGAACAAGAAATAATAACATACGTGAGTTGGATAACTACTCACGATTTGCGCACGCGGAATTGTATGCTGTCCTCTCGCAGAACTATTAAAATTAAGTACACTTTAACTAGTTTAAACCTCCTTAAATTAGTTAAACTCCATTTAACTCGAACTGTAGAACTGGGTTTTCTTAATGACCACGTTTCCATCGCTTTCGTAAATCCAGGATTTATCGGGTCCGGATCCAAGAAATCGCATGTCTTCATCGCATTAATACTTACTTAAATTCGATCCTAAGTGTTGCCATCGACACTTAAATTCGAATCTACTGGGTTTGGACGTGATAAATCCGAATTTAAGTATCAATCGAGACGCTTAGGATCGAATTTGCGTATTTTTTAATACGATAAACACATGCGATTTATTGGATCCAGACCCGATAAATCCCGGATTTAGAAGTGCGATGGAGACGTGGTCAATGCGATTTACTGGATCTAGACCTGATAAATCCCGGATTTAAGAGTATGATGGAGTCATTCAGTTTGAAGTTTTTAATTAACCCGCGCATTTTATCGAAAGAAGGTGCTGCACCTAGTGGAAGTAACAAGCATTAATATGCAACGAACATATGTAACATACATGTTGCACATCGTAAACATTTCTCAAATCTCCGGCTATTTGACAGCTGTCTGACAGGAAGCATTGTTGACATTTACCATTTAATTCTGTTTACTTTATGTACGTTGAGTTATAACTGAAAAGTATAAAATTATTAAATGAGACCAAGCGGAAGTGATTCGCCTCAAAAGTTAGGCTCGCGTGGTCAGAGCACAAGCTCATCGCGAATAAAACTTAATGCTTCGGGGAAGGTTCGGAGAGCAATACCTAAGAACGTAACCTCAATTGTTCAGCAACGACAACATTTACGAGTGTTCGACAACGGTGTTGACGTTACCCCGAAAACTCTAGTCCATAATGTATTTGGTTCCATCGAAGAAAGGCAGTTGACAGCTTTCGATGCTATTGGTTTATGTCAAGGTGGAAGTAATACACAAGTCGTAGTTAGTGCTTCGGGCTTAAAGGCGAGTTCTTCGATGATACTGTTCAGATCAGCCTCGGTACATACCTCGATACTGCCTACGGATGATACTCCGATAGAGAGTTTTGCGTCGACTCAAGGCATCGATAGTGTACAAGCTATTGATGACGTTCCTTCCGAATTCTATCTTTGTAGGTAATATTAATTGCTTATATCCTCTTATCGGTTAATTTAATTATTAGGTATTTCAAATTGTAAAGTCCAGTGCGGCCCACATTAAATGATTCTTTTGAGTATCTTACGAAACAAGAGGTTAATTGAACAGTGTTTCATACGAACATTGCGTGATTTTGGGAGGAAAGATGAGAAAAATATGAAGGAAAATGTAATAGTTTCAATGGTGATGTTACAGTAAGCAACGCTTGATCAATGAAATCCTTGTTCTGTAAGATATTATAATGAAACGTTTGAAATATAACAACCTGTATAGTTACATATACTGTAATGTGTATTCTATGGAATATAGGTATGACTCGAGCATATCCTACATTAAACCAGAAAAGGTGGTAATAACATTAATGGAGACCGATACATTCTTTATCTTTGAAATGCCGCAATTAACTAAGATTGCCGATACCCCAGAAGGCCAGGCAGTTAAAGAAGAAAATGAGAGGTATGAGTACATTACTGTTGGAGGAGGATCAAACCGAAAATTAGCCACGGTTGAAACACAGACTCAGATAGTCCATACCAAGACAAGAAGCACTTATTTAAGTCGGTCCAGACGTAAGAATCAGGGAACGTTTGTGAACGCTTGGGTCATGTATGATTCAAATGAAACGGATGGATTTACATCTGGTGGTTATAGAGAATCTCAGAATCAGGTTTGTTAATTGGTATAATTTCTTCCCACATTGGTCACATCAGGGTTCAGAAATATTCCAGCGAGTTTTCAGTAGGCTAGTCAGGTCGTATGACAATCTGTGTAGGGGAAAATTAATCTCTAGCACTACCCTTGAAGTAACATTAATTCGTTTAAGTTATTGGAATAAACTTGAATGTTATTAAAACAATTAAATTCTCATTCGCAAAGAGTTTAATCATTGGTTATATTCTTGATTATACTCTGATTCTCGGTTACATTACCAGAGTAATATAATGCATTAGAAACTCGGAATACTTAAATACAGGAATGTTTAAAAACGGCAATATATAAAAAAACACGGAATACTTAAAAACAGGAAATAGTGGCAAAACATTGTTTTTCTAGGAAAATCGGTTCAAACTCCCAAAAATAGAAGGAACTAGCGAAGTTGTTAATCCTGAAGATCAGCTTGCACAGATCTATGAGAGTATTAGATTCCAAGATGCCATCAGGGTCGTGGAGCGCATAATTGCCAGCAACCTTTACATTAATTCACAAAAATGTTTCAAGGGTTTAATTAAGCAGGATCCCTGCAGTTTGGATTTGGAATTTACATACAGCTTGCGTCTCCTCTGGACACATTCATGTGCAGCTTCTCAAGGCCGTCCGGTTTCTTGTTTTCGATGGAGTTATATTAATGAAAACCTCCTTGCTGCTGGATATGGAGAAATCCCTGGAGCAGAAGTGAAAAACGGAGTAGTTCTGATCTGGTGTATAAAAAATCCCAGTCAGCCCGATCGTTCGTACACCTTCAACTGCCCCGTCTCTGCTTTAGACTGGAGCAAAGATCGTCCAAACTTTTTAGCAGTTGGGTTCTACGATGGAATTATTATGGTCATTGACGTAAGCAACAAAGCGTTATCCATCATGAGATGCAGTCAGAGAATTACCTCGCCTTCTTATTCTCCACATTGGCAAGTGCAGTGGTGGGCAGGGGAGGAACAGTTTGATTTTAAGGAGCAGATTTATACCAGCAATCAGGATGGTCGAATCCTTCGTTACAGATCGGGGGAGGATTTTACGTCTACGGAGATCATGAGGATATCGAGGATAGAAGGCACGGTAACAGGAGTTAACAGAACTAATCACTGCACTGTTTACGATATTCCAATCAGTAGGAATCCAGGAGCCTTGGTACTTCGAAGATATCCTAATTCTACGTCTTTGTATTTTGTTGGCTCCGATGAGGGTTGCATTCATCGATGCTCCACAAATTACCTGCAACAACACATAGATAGCTTTTTGGCCCACGATGGACCAGTATACTCCATAGAGTTCTCACCATTTTGTTCGAAGATCTTTTTAACGTGTGGTGCCGACTGGTGTACTAGGATATGGGCCGATGGGATCGTGGAACCCCTTATTACATTGTCGAGTACTATGGCTTGTGTCCATGATGCAACGTGGTGTCCTACTAATTCAACCATCATTGCTAGTGTAGTGAATAATGAAATCTGCTTGTGGGATATCAAGAGAAAAATATATAAGCCTACGTCTATTACAGTGTCTCCCCACAGTGGCAGGTTTCTTTCCGTCCAGTTTACTCCAAATGGAAATCAACTGCTGGCTGCAGACATCGAAGGAGCTATCCATGTATATACCTTAGAAGGTATGCCATTTCCTTCTTTAATCCAAACTCAGCTACTCGTCACTTCTATACAGAAGGCACTCGTCACTCGACCTGTTTTATTAAACAAACTTAGAAAACTTGGACCACCATTTATATAGTACATTTTAGTTGCAAAGAATATGAAAAAGTTCTTTAATCTACGATGTGCAATCCATTTTAGGATCTTAGGCTATTGCTTAAATTATGACCCGGTCGGTAAGATAATATTATTTCAGAAAGTGTACTGGAAGGTATAAAAATGTTCAAAGAAAGTATAGTAATAGTATATCAGAGCTTGAACTGAATAGTACAAAAATGTCCAAAGAAAGTATAGTAATAGTATTTCAGGACTTGAACTGAATAGTACAAAATGTGCAAACTATAGTTCCTGTCAGCATTTCGTAAAATAAGATTGTTATATAATGCGATACTTCGTATGGCTAGTACTATGAGTTTATAATAAAACGACGTTATTGACTGTCAACATAAAGTGTTATTTATATTACAATAAAATCTCCAAGTGTTATTTTGTATCGTCATGTCAGGGCTGAAGGAAAAGCGTTGAATTGTCAACAAAATTGTGGGGCTATAATATGCCTAGTTATTATAGATACGTTCCAGGTATATTTATCTGAAACTTACCTGAAATTAAAGAAATCGGTCATTAGATGTCATCTCGCTAATTGAAGGAAACGAGATATTGATACAAGGAGACATGTAATCATGAAAACATCATTCATGTAATCATGAAAACAACAACATTTAATTATGAAAATTTGCGAAGAATCATCGTCGGTGAATATGGCGCCATTGATTTGAATTTTCAAGATGGCGGCTTGGCTTCGATGTGCGCGCCATGCCAAAGAAGCGCGGTTCGCAACGAACTTTCGTCAGTTTCCAACCGAGAGGTAGGATTAAGTAATTCCGTGTTTTTTTGGTTTTACCGTGTTATGCAAATCAAGGAATTTACTGTAGAAAATCGTAACAAAATTAGTAAACTACGTCTCCAATATGGTGAATGCCGCAGATGCATGATACATATATCTTCTAGGTCATAAACGTGTTTTACGGCACATGTAAACATGTAAAAATCATTAAGGACTAAATCGGATGCAAACCAGTTAAGCTTGAATAAGAGATGAGTGGGGAGATTGTTCACGGACTGGTTCGCGCAATCGCGTTTTGCGCTTTCAAGATTGGGTAAGTATAATACGTCAAGTAATATATGTGGTTTTCTACACCTATATTACAACGTATAATACCAGAGATGAGTTGGGAGATTGCTCACCGGCAGGGTCGCGCGATCGCACCGTGTGCTGCCCTCTGATTTCGCACGTCAGCTTTCACCATTTTTTGCCCCCAAGGGCGGCGCAACGAATTTCTGGTAGGGGCTCGCGCAATCGCGATGGCTGTGCCATCTACCAGTTGCCGTTGGCGGTTCACGTATTCGTGATGGTAATACCATGCGGCAG